TCACTCTGACAGACTGTAATACACTACAGGAAGCGTAGGGGGCGATAGGGCTTCTACTGTTTCATTTAAAAAGCTCTATAATGTTCATATGATCCACACAGTCACTCTGACAGACTGTAATACACTACAGGAAGTGTAGGGGGCGATATGACTTCTACTGTTTCATTTAAAAAGCTCTATAATGTTCATATGATATACAAAGTCATGCTTAGTCGATTATAGAAATTATTTTTCACAAAAATCTGATCACAGATATGAGTGTTTTTTCCTGTTGCAGCTGTGGATGCTCTGTGACCTGAAAATCCAGTTTGAGAAAGCAATGAATGATGGGAAATATCACCTGGCAGAGCCACACGTCACAGCCATTTCAGCCCTGAACGCCACAGAGGGGCTGTACAGGTACGCTTCACCTGCCCAGGTCACATAACTGGATACTCATTACAGAAATACCAAACAAGTGCTAAATTTAGCATTGTAGGCTAATAGAAATGTGATCTTGAATCATTATTTCTGAAAACGCCTGTAAAATCCTCAGGACATCATTACAGACGTTCAGAACGCAGATAAAACTGACAGATTACAGGCTATTAAAGACGACATCAGTAGCCGCTGCTCTGGAGTGAAGGGAACAGAGAGGTTAGATTAGAAGGTAGTTTATCTATAGTTCGTGTGTTTGCAGGAAAGCTCAGCTGTTGAAGGCTTTAAATCAGATGTCAGACGCCTCCAGGATCCTGCAGCGTGTTCAGCAGCTCAGTGAGAAGAACAAGAACACGGAGATGATCATCAGGTGTGTGTGTGTGTGTGTGTGTGTGTGTGTGTGTGTGTGTTTTTGTATGTTTTCAGTACATTAAACTCCTGATTGTATGAAAAACAGGACAAACCTACAGGAGCAACAAAGGCCATTAAATACTTTTCATAGAAACTTTTAATTGTTTAGACTAAAAGAGCAAAACCATTTCTTCCTGATTCCTGAGGTTAAGATTAGACTTATATATATATATATATATATATATGTATGTATGTATGTATGTATGTGTATGTATGTATGTGTGTGTGTGTTTGTGTGTGTATGAATGTCATACAAATGGGACATTATAGGACATATTATTTTTATTTATTAATTTACATAGGAACTTAAATACATAAAATACAAATGGGACATATAATATGTAGATTGTTTGGCGGTATGGAGATTCGTGAGATGCTTGTATCGCATACATAAATTGGAAAATTCCAGCTGCCACTTGTGTGAAATCCTCAAGATCCACGAACCAAAAGAAATGGTCCAAAACTGCATAGAATAAAATCTTTCTACGTTAAATTAATAGTTAAGAAGTTTTTCCTTCTCCTGAAAAGTTGCTATTTTGGAAAGGTTTTTATAATTTTAGGGACTTTTATTATTATTATAATTATTATTATTACCTCCCCACCCAATGTCATGACAAGATACTAACCTCTATGTGTAAACAGGGTGATGTTGGCCACCGCGGAGCTGCACTGGGACTCGTCCGGATTCGCCACAGCGCTCCCGCTCCTTCTGCAGGCTTTAGCTTTAGCACGGCAGCACAACCTGCAGAGCCTGGAGTCCGAGACTGTGCTGCACCTGGCCTTCACACAGGTACGTACACATACGGGGGGGTGCATTCTGACTAACTTTGATATTCGAGTATTTAGCTAACAGACTGGGAAAGAAAAAAACCAGCAGAAGGAAATCAAGTGTTTTAGAGATTACTGAACACCTCCACAGGGAGTGTGTGATGGTTTTAGGTGTGTTAGTGGGGTAAAAGCTTCCATTACTTGTTAGCTACATTAGTCTCATAGCTCCAGGGCTAAAACTAAAGAATCCGATTTCAGACATGTCTTGGATCACTGACTAAATCTGGGGTAAGAGGGGGAACTGGGGGGATTTTATTTGTATTGATTAATTAATTAATTAATTAGGGCCTTTCCAAAGCTGAAGGTTGCTGTATTAGTGAAGTGTCCCTTTATCAGTGCGGGGGTCTCAGTGCCGTGTTTGTCTGTGTAGCTGATGTTGGGGATCCCGGAGCAGGCTCTGGCCCTGGTTCAGGACGTGTTGGAGTGCGTGTTGGCTCATGGATCTGTGCTGGATAAAGCCCGGGCTCTGCTGCTGGCTGCCCGCTGTCAGGCTGCTCTCGCCGCGTCGGCGCCGGAGGAACGCAGACTGCGCGGTAAAAGCTCAAACACAAACATCTCCAGCGCCTGATTAAAGAACCGATCCACCGCATTTTTCCAGCACCCGTACTGAACAGTCGCACGTTTCACGCGTGATTTATCTGAAAACTATGTGATCATAAAGTCGACACATGAAACGTTGTGTGAATGTGATCACGTAACGTCTTGCCCTGAAACAGCATGTTTTTCGTGTCATCACATTTTCTCATGTGATCACACAATTTTTTGCATGTATGTGGAAAATGTGGCTAAAAAAACACACGATCATGATTTTCTTGTGATGCGATGGAGCGATTTTCACATGAAATCATGTTTTTTTAAAATGTGATCACACATTTTTCAACATTTAATATAATCAAATTTTTGATATGTATATGAAAAATCACGTGTGTGTGGTTTTAATATTTAGTTTTTTTCCTCGAACGAAGGTTAAGAGGTGATGTGCTATTTTTTTTTTTTTTACTCCACATGGTCTCTAGTGGATTATTGATTTTATAAAACAACCAAAATATAGTATTATAAAATTCAACAATTTTGAATGAATCATTTAATCAGTAATAATAATAATAATAATAATAAAAATAATAATAATAATATTAAACAGTTCTTTCACCAAGTAATGTTGTTCATTATCAGTAAGCTGTGGTTGCCAATCAGCATAACTGTCAAAGATTATTCCATGATTTTTAATAACTTTTTCTTTCCTGTTTTGTTTGTCTGTCTCTCTCTCTCTCTCTCTCTCTCTCTCTCTCTCTCTCTCTTTTTTTTGTCGTTCTCTCTCTGTCTCTCTGTCTCTCTCTCTCTCTCTCTCTCTCTCTCTCTCTTTTTGTCGTTCTCTCTCTGTCTCTCTCTCTCTTTTTGTCGTTCTTTCTCTGTCTCTCTCTCTCTCTCCTCTCTCTCTCTCTCTCTCTCTGTCTGTTTCTCTGTCTCTCTCTCTCTCTCTCTCTCTCTCTCTCTCTCTCTCTCTCTCTCTCTCTAGCTGTAGAGATGTCTGTAGAGACTCTGGGTGAAGCTGCTCTGTATTTCATTCAGCTGAACTGTAATCAGCGTCTGAGGGAGGTTTATTACCTGCAGGCTCGACTCCACCACAGTCTGGGAAACGTCTCTGAGAGGAATCAAAGCGCTCTGCAGTTCCGCCTCCTCAACCAGGAGCTTCCGCCGTCGGCCAGCGCGGCCGTCCCTCTGCTCTGAACCGCCTTCGTCACAGAACACCTGATCCACAGGAATCGGCTCACCTGATCCACAGGAATCGGCTCACCTGATCCACAGGAATCAACTCGTCTGCAGTTCTGAAGCTTGTTTGATGCTTGTGAGGATGTAAAATGTAAAGAATTGATAAATACAATTTGTTTTGTACCTAAAATGAGACTGTTTGGTATTTTTTGTGTTCTTGGTGCTGGAAATGAACACGGAGAGCAGAATTCAGTAACGAGAGTTTCAGAAACATCAGAAGGTCAAAGGAGACGGTAACTATTTTAAAGTACACAGTAAAGGTACAAAAACGAGTCACAGAAGGTGAAAGTGCTGTAGCTCAGTGGAGAGACTCTCACATAGTAAACCTTCATTCACAAAGCATCATCAGATCAAAGAAATGAAGATGAGCACAAAGCATCATCAGATCAAAGAAATGAAGATGATTTTAAACAGCAGAAACTCACACATGGAAAAAGACCATCACAGCTCAGTGACCAGGATTTCCCTGAGTGGTTCTTCTCATACTTCTAGAGAGGTTCCCCTTTTTAGACTTTGTTCCTTTTGGTGGTTCTTCCTCATTCTTTTGGAGATGTTCTCCTTTTGGCTCTCGGTTCCTCTCAGTGTTTTTTTCCTCACGCTCTTAGGGAGTTTTTTCTTTTGGGTTTGGTTCCTGTCAGTGGTTCTACCTCATGCTTTTAGAAGGGTTCTTCTTTTAAAGTCTATGTTCCCCTCAGTAGTTCTTCCTCATGCTTTTAGATGGGTTCTTCCTTTGGGTCTATGTTCCTCTCCGTGGTTCTTCCTCATGCTTTTAGAGGGGTTCTTCTTTTGAGTCTATGTTCCTCTCAGTGGTTCTTCCTCATGCTTTTAGAGGGGTTCTTCTTTTGAGTCTCAGTTCCTCAGAGTGGTTCTTCATGCTCTTTGGGAGTTTCTCCTTTTGAGTCCGTTCCTCTCCGTGGTTCTTCCTCATGCTCTTAGAAAGGTTCTCCTTTTGAGACTAGGTTCCTCTCCGTGGTCCTTCTTCATATTCTTAAGGAGGTTCTCCTTTTGAATCTAGGTTCTTCTCAGCGTTTCTACCCAATGTTCTTAGGGAGATTCTCCTTTTGAGTCTTAGTTCCTCTCATTGTTTCTTCATGCTCTCAGGGAGGTTCTCCTTTACTGTTTTGGTTCCTCTTAGTTCTTCCCCATGCTCTTAGTGAGGTTCTCCTTTACTGTTTTGGTTCCCCTCAGTGTTTCCACCCCAGCGCGCTTAGGAAGTTTCTCCTTTTGAGTTGAACCACTGAGCGGAACCAAGACTGAAAACGGGGAACCGCCTAAGAGCATGACGTAGAACCACTAAGAGGAACCAAGAGCCCCAGATTTTTCACTCATCCTCCTCTCACTGAGAACAACCCCATCCATGCAGATGTTGATCTAGGACCTGTACTTGGTTCTCCCATTTAAGAAGCTCCTCAACAAACACGAAACTAGTCTCTAGTCCTAAACACACCTGGAAACGCCTCCTGCGCTCTGATTGGTTACTAACCTTTAGAACCACTCCACCAATCCCCGCGCAGGCCCAACTTTTTTGGAAGTTCTGTACACGCGTGCGCGGTCTCCACTCCTCCCAGCCTGGCTCCTCCACGGTCCTCCCCAGAAGATGGAGTCTCTCGGCGGCTACCCGAGCAAATCCAGCCCGCGAGGAAAAGCCCTGCCGGTGCTGATGAGCCTGGCTGTGTGTTTGGGGTCGCTTTACTTGCTGCACAGCAGATTCGCGAAGCCAAGACGACTTAAAGACTTTTATTCCTTTGAAGTGAAGGACGCGCGAGGAAGGAGCATCTCTCTGGAGAAGTACAGAGGAAAGGTGGGCTGGACTTTTGTAAACAGTGGATATTTTTTGATGTATAAATGTTATTTCTGATGTTTGCATTGGTTGGAATGGGAAATGCATGATAATTAGGGATGATTAAAGCTGATTAAACCCTCAAACGAGCTTTGGAACCAAGTTGAAATGGCTTTTTATTGGAATTTTTCCGTTCCACCTTAAATGGTGCAGCAGTTGCATTGTGGCGCCTGAGGCGCCACAATGCAACTGCTGCACCATTTAAGGTGGAACGGAAAAATTCCAATAAAAGGCCAATTTCAGCTTAATAACTTACAAACTTTGTCTTATTAGAAAAATATATGTACACTAAAGCTTTTATAACCCAAAATGTTTTTTATAAACACCTTTATTGTTCTGCTCTTCTAAGATCTCGCTGGTTGTAAACGTGGCGAGTCAGAGCGAGCAGACCGAGGAGAACTACCGGTTCCTGCAGGAGCTGCACAGAGAACTAGGCACTGCCCATTTCAACGTTCTGGCCTTCCCCTGCGGTCAGTACGGCCAGACCGAGCCCGGCTCCAGCAGGGACGTGGAAGCCTTCGCCAAATCCCACTATGGAGTGACCTTTCCCATCTTCAGCAAGATCAAGATCATGGGCTCAGAAGCAGAGCCCGCATTCAGGTTCATCACAGGTAGGACCAGAACCTGGATCCAGCTCCATCAGGCAGTGAGTTCATAACCATTTCATGTAGGAACTTTCTGTGAGGGAGCTTTTAGAGGTGGACGTCTGGTTCCTATCACCACCACTGTGAGCAGTTCTGAGCGTTTCACACCAAACCACTCCGAATGACGTCTTAGCTTGTTAATTATGCAGGGAATTTTGAAAGTTAGGTGGAATTCTCCTTTAAATGTGAGATTTCACATGCTGTTGTTTTATAAACAAGGTTTTTTTTATATGGAGAGGAATTTTTGCAACATTAAAAAGCAGGAAATTGTGAAGTTTTATACGCATATGATGTGAAATATGGGCCAAAATGAAAAATAAGCCCTTTATTACACTGTTTTTATGTCGCTTGAACTCTTTACTCAAAAATAATGCAGAAGGATTTGCATTTTAAAAATAAAATGCTGAATTTATGTCAGAATTACAGAATACAATCCACTGTAAAATGTAATAAAGGCACGACTGTACTGCTTTCCACTGAGCTGTGGTGGGCGATATGGCAAAAATATAATATTGCAAGAAGAATATTAAAGAAATTTTCACGATATGTGATAAAATGTTCCAGTGTGCTTTTTTTGAGCATATTGTGGATATCATCAGTACTCAAACAGCTGCATGTTTGATTATGAAGAAAGCTTTTTAAGTTCTGTTTAATTGGATTTAGTGCTGCTCAGTTTGTGAAATATTAGTTATAGTTTTTTATAGTAATTTTTAATGTGGCACTACTTTGGCTGTCCCAACTTAAAACATAAACATGGTGACATAGAGATCATGAAAACATCTTAAATTATTGTGATATTAGTTTTTTGCTGTATCGACCAGCTCTGGTGTTAGACAGTAATATTAGCATAATGGATAACTCAGGGAATTCTTATTTTTGGTGAATCAGGATCTGAAGCTGGTCTAAAAGTCTAATTAAAACAAAATTCAGTTTCTTTGTGTTGATGCTTTTACTCATGTATGAAGTGTTTAGTTTGAAATTCATCAAAATGATCTGGTTTGTGAGCTCACTGTTGGTGTTATTGTAGTAGTCAGACAGATTTATGCTTTTTCATAAATTCACATACTGTAGTTTGATGCATTTGGTTCACTTTTGCAGTCGACAGCAAAGCAGCAGCTCACCGGCGTTATATTACTGAGTTTTCTCAGGAATCAAAGTCAAGTAAAAAATTCAGACACACAGGTAAATAAATAGCGACTATTTATAGGTGAGGTACAGTAAATCTGTCTGCTCTGAAGTGGTAATACCTGCATGCACATCACTGCACTAGCGCTCTGATACGTCTCTTGTACAAACCCTCCACATAAGTTGTGTATTTCTGATGGTCAGTTCTCACTTTTTTTTACAACCCCGTTTCCAAAAAACTTGGGACGCTGTGTAGAATGTAAATAAAAACAAAATGCAGTAATATGCAAATCATTTAAACCCTATATCTAATTGAAAATAGTACAAAGGCAACATATCAAATGTTGAAACAGAGAAATTTTATTGTTTATTGAAAAATATTTGCCCATTTTGAATTTAATGCCAACAACACATTAAAAAAAGTTGGGACGGGGGAACAAAAGGGTGGTGAAGTTGTGTAATGCTAAAAAAACACCTGGTGGTTGATTGACAACAGGTCAGTAACATGACTGGGTATAAAGAGCATCTCAGAGAGGCGGAGTCTTTCAGAAGTAAAGATGAGGAGGGGTTCACCACTCTGTGAAAGACTGCACCATCGAATAGTGCAACTTTTTAAGAATAACGTTTCTCAACATAAAATAGTAAAGAACTTTAGCTTTTCATCATCTACGGTACATAATATCATTAAAAGATTCAGAGAATCTGGAGAAATCTCTGTATGTAAGGGACGAGGCTGAAAACCGTTATTTGCTGGCCGTGATCTTTGGGCCCTCAGACAGCACTGCATTAAAAACAGACATGATTCTGTAGTGGAAATCACTGCATGGGCTCAAACACTTCTGAAAACCACTGTCTGTGAAAACAGTTCATCACTGCATCACAAATGCAAGTTAAAACTCTAAAACACAAAGAAGAAATCAGATACAAACAGGATCCAGAAATGCTGGAGGGGGGATGGGGTCGCAAAGAGAATGCCCCCCAAAGTCATTGTCCATTTTATCAGCTCCACTTACAATATAGTATCATCTTGTGGCGTGGGGGTCCTGTGAGGGTCTTGACCATTGAGAAACAGGGTGAAAGGGGGCTAACAGATTATGCAGAGAAACAGATGGACTACAGTTGTGCTTTCTTCTGGCAGTGTAGCGACAGTGTAAGATCTGAAAAGGCTGTTTTCCTGTACTAAAAAAGTACATTTTGCTACAGTTCATTTGAACCCACCACTCTCCTTGTCTTTGTTTGTTTGTTTGTTTGTTTGTTTTTTGTTTTTTTGTTGGACCAACAATTTGACCAAAAATAATTTTATCTATTAATTTATTTATTGCCAGAAAGTCCTCATTTTGTTCATGCCTGCCTCTGGAAAGAGGAAGTTTAGATAAAGTAGTATCACAAATTTTATACAAATATTAGTAATTTTGATTAAGACCCATATTTAATGGAAAACTGAACATTTCTTGTGTTTTCAAATAAGACTGTAAAGTGCCGTATAAACATTGTTGAAGTTTAAACTCTAATGAACCTTAACTCTGTTCTGTCTTATCTACACTCAGATTCGGTGCAGAGGATACCAAAGTGGAACTTCTGGAAGTTCCTGGTGAACGCCGAGGGCCAGGTGGTGCGGTTCTGGCGGCCGGAGGAACCCATGGAGGAGATCAGGCAGGAGGTCACGGCACTCATTCGGGAGATCATCCTGAAGAAGAGGCACGAACTCTGAGGGTCTGAGACCCAGCAATGAACATAGGAAAGGTTCCTGAGAGAAAAGACGCCTTTACAGTGTTGCCTTACGAACTTCTCTGAACTCTAAATGTGGTCCGTCCGTCTGTCTGTCTGCTGTTTCTAGATGAGCCCAGATGTTGGTGTTTGCCTGCTTTCTGTGTGCCACTTTGGAATCTTCTATGTGTGAATTAGAGCCCGACCGATATGAAAAGTACAGGTTCTTCATTTTTCAGCATCAGGAAAAAGGTAGAAAACATGCACTGTGAAGAATGAGAGGTCAGCTCAACTCAGTGATCTAGTAACTGATTACATGGCTTTTCTTGAGTTGACTTAACTTGAGGACGCCGGAGTTCACACAACTCAGACTAGCCAGGGCTCTTTCATCTCACAGTCCTGCTGGACGTTTTTCCTCTTGGGTACAAACTTACGGATGGCTGTGGCATCGCTGGGGCTCAAACTCACAACCTCTTGTTGGGGTGACGGCTTAGTCCACTGCAGCACTCAGGAACACGTGAAGCAGCTCAGATTTTGTGTCTAAAATGTTTAATATACTGGAGAAGATATTTGTTGTTTAAAATTTTAAGAGAGGTGTGGTTTCATGTGGTGCATCTGTCTAATAATTCATCCCAACATCAGACATCAGGAGGTTGTGAGTTTGAATCCCAGCAATACCACAGCTTCCATATCCGGAAGCCCAAGAGGAAAATCTGCCAGATAAGACTGTGTGATAGAAGGAGCACCTTCTATCCACACCTGTGGATGTTTTCAGATCTGATCAGCTTGATTTTCTCCTCTCTCTCAGAGATGAAAGCTTTAAGTGCTGTTTATCTGATGGGGCAGTTTTGGGGTCGACCAGCTCTTCCAGGTGGTTGTTAGGAGCCCCATTTTCTCTGGACCTCATTGCTCACTCATGCTTATTTCTGCTTTCAGCCACACCCATCTTTGATTTTCATTTAAAAAAAAAAAAAAGCATAAAAAGTGTATCAGTATCGAAATTCAGGTATCGGCTGTGGTGGTGGTGTTGAAAGGATTTCCAACAGTCATATTGACTGTTATTATCAGCTGACCGATATATCGGTCAGGCCCTAAAATAAAATGTATTTTTCTGTAGTTATGGTGACTGAAGTCTCAGGGCGCTCTGGCCTGTTCATCCAAAACCACTGAGGTATTTTCATCATGAGGTTAAAATCCACTCTGCTGGAAGTAAACGACACAATTAAAACTTCATCATTTTTAATCCATGCATTTCTCATTTTCATGACAGTTTTTTCAATTTTAACATTCGCACAAACACAACATACTGAATTCTCACAGATTGACAACAATTTGTTCATTTCAATTAAAAATAAACCAAATGTAGAACAATACCACATTCTTGCACTCATCTTATTTGCAAAGGAATGGTTTGTTAATATAATGTAAACTGACAAAATCAGACCACTAAACAGTTTTGCATATCGTTGCTGTCGGAAGAAAACCTCGTATATCTATTTTTGTCATTTTTCAGTTTTTGACATAATTCGAAAAAAGGCCTGTTGGCCTTTTCAGTGGGGGGGTGGAGTCTGGTTCCATTGACTTACATTAAATGTAAGTTTTTTCTTTCTCCTGTAAAGTTACCCTTTTGGAAATAGGGGGTTTTCTTCCGACAGCAGCGATATACTTAAAATAGATTTTCTCATTTGAACTACAATCCGACTACATCAGAACAACTGAATGTTGACATTAATTACAGCTTACAGTAGTTTAGCCCCACCCATTCCTGTTGAAGTGATAAGGAGTGTTGTTCCTACAGACAGTCTGTACAGAGTTATTGGAGGGGAAGTTGTGAGGTAAATGATTAAACATTCCATTCCTGGCTGTCAGGAAGTAAATGCATCATTGAAGGATCCACACATTTAAAGAGAACAACTGAAGTCTTTTTCCCACGAATTTCAGTCCCCATGCATGTTTAAGGCTAGACAGAACTCTGACAGGGACACAGGAACCACAGATAACAGAGGTGTTGATCAGGTAGCTAACGGAGTTAGGTTTGTTTCAGAGATATGCTGTAACGACATAATTATGTTTACAATCACAGAGTCGGTTATCATAAAAATCATTGTTTCTGTATGTGGTAGCTAGATAACTTGCTAACATGGTTGGAGAAGTAGCTGATGCTAATTTAAAACCCTTTTATTCTGAACAAGCAGTTTAAATCCTCCCAGTCAGGGGCTTTTTACTGCCACATTCCAGACCTGACTACTTTTTGAACAAGACATATTATATTGCAGCCAATCACAGCAGGAATAAAGTACAATAAATATAAAATACAAGAAGTGTTATGCTACGACATCAGCAAAGACAAAGTCTATAGTCACCCACATCTTTTTCGTAAATACATCCCAAAACCTCTCGACCTGCACCCAGGTCAACGTTGTTCAAACTTGTTTTAAAACAAAATATGACATGCTGTAAAATACACGGTGATTCAAAAAGATTAATCCGATTTCAAAGCGCCATATTTTTACAACCGTTAGGCGCCGAGGAGCCAATCACAATCCAATTGAAAGAGGGGGTCATAGAGTTTCTGACTGTCAGTGGAAGATGGCTCCCTTCAGTCTGAGAGGAGATGAGACCCCTGAGCAGAAAGTGTTCTGCGTTCTCCACTTCAATAAGAGTGAATCCGTCATAACTGTGCAGTGTGATTTTCGTGGGCAGTGAAGCTCCAATAGCTCAGAGCGTTCGTCGTTGGTTCCACAACACTGGATGATCTCCGAAATCGCACTGAAAGAGCCGTGAGTGCAGCGACACCCGACACGCTCAATCCAGTATGGGATGAGTTTGACTATGGTCAACAAGTCTGGACCACTTTAATAAAAACCTAGATGTGGTCTGAGTAGGCTGAGAGAAGTTTTGGGGGTGTATTTAGAGAAAAGATTTGGGTGACTGTTGACGTTTAATGTTTGACATTAGCTTTGTAGCTCTAGCCCTAAACTAAAGAGGGAAAATTTGGACACCAAACATGGCTGATCAACTGCAATCTAGGATAAATGGAAAATTCACCATTTTTAGTCCAAAGTTGTTCTACCCAGTCCTATCAGGTAAATGATAAAAGATGATACCTCTGACACACCTGGCTCAGCTCATAAGCAAACAGGTCACAACCACTGCTGTGTTTGATATCCTAGTCTAGGTAATAGCAAACTACAACCTGTACAACTACAACCACTGTCCACTCCTTACAATCATTCATCTCACAGTCTTGATCTTCAGGTCTGCAGATTTCTCTGTGGTACTGAATATGGGGTAGATCTGCTCTCCATCTGTGAAGTTCATATGTCTGAATGTGTAAATGTGAGTTTTAGTCTCATTGTTATAAAAAGCGACCCACTTCTCATCCACATCAATACAGACCCCCAAAATCCGGGGGACGGTGTCGGGTGGCAGCGGCTTGCTGGGCTCCTCCAGAGCTGAGAAGATTTGTCTGTAGTGATAGAGACACCAGTAGCCCACACTGGGTGAGACACTGAACCTCCCTTTCCTCTGGGAAAACTCCTTTGTAACTCCAACAGTGAACTCTCTGTTGACCTCCACCTGCCAGTAGTGCCGTCCAGACCTGAAGCCTTTAGTGGCGAGGACGCTCTCGTACTTATCAAATCTCTTTGTGGTGTGATTGACGGTTTTCTTTTCTCCCAGCCGCACTCGTTTCTGGCTCTTGGACAGAATGAGTGCACAGTAAGCTGTATCAGGATCCAGTATGAAATCAGCTGAGGAGAAAAAAAAAGAATGTGAGTGATGTGGATTAATCTAGTTTGTTTTTCATTTTAATTTTTATCCAGTTTGCTGTTGGTAGGTTTCTCCCTATCAGACAATGCCACCAAGCCTGGAGCGGGAGTTTATTACCTCAGAGCATCACACTGAACAATAGAAGGAGAAACAGCACGTTGAATGATAGATTGTGAGGAAAATTATCACACTGAACGACAGATGATGAGGAAGAACATTACATTGAATGATCGACGGTGAGGAGAAACATCACAATGATAGATGAAGAGGAGGAGCACTAAACTGAAAGATACATAGTGAGGAAAAGCATCACACTGAATCATAGATGATGAAGAACATTACATTGAATGATCGATGGTGAGAAGAAGCATTACACTGCATGATAGATTTGAGAAAGGGCATCACATTGAACAATCAATAGTGAGGAAGAGCATCACACTGAATGATAGTGAAAAGAAGCATCACACTGAATGATAGATGGTGAGGAAGAGCATTACAGAATGATAGATGGTGAGGAAGAGCATCACACTGAATGATAGATGGTGAGGAAGAGCATCACACTGAATGATAGATGGTGAGGAAGAGCATCACAGAATGGTAGATGGTGAGGAAGAGCATCACACTGAATGACAGATGGTGAGGAAGAGCATCACACTGAATGACAGATGGTGAGGAAGAGCATCACACTGAATGATAGATGGTGAGGAAGAGCATCACACTGAATGACAGATGGTGAGGAAGAGCATCACACTGAATGATAGATGGTGAGGAAGAGCATTACAGAATGAAAGATGGTGAGGAAGAGCATCACACTGAATGACAGATGGTGAGGAAGAGCATCACACTGAATGATAGATGGTGAGGAAGAGCATCACAGAATGGTAGATGGTGAGGAACAGCATCACACTGAATGACAGATGGTGAGGAAGAGCATCACACTGAATGACATGGTGAGGAAGAGCATCACACTGAATGATAGATGGTGAGGAAGAGCATCACACTGAATGATAGATGGTGAGGAAGAGCATCACACTGAATGACAGATGGTGAGGAAGAGCATCACACTGAATGATAGATGGTGAGGAAGAGCATTACAGAATGAAAGATGGTGAGGAAGAGCATCACACAGAATGGTAGATGGTGAGGAAGAGCATCACACAGAATGGTAGATGGTGAGGAAGAGCATCACACTGAATGACAGATGGTGAGGAAGAGCATCATACTGAATGATAGATGGTGAGGAAGAGCATCACACTGAATGGTAGATGGTGAGGAAGAGCATCACATAGAATGGTAGATGGTGAGGAAGAGCATCACATAGAATGGTAGATGGTGAGGAAGAGCATCACACTGAATGGTAGATAATGAGGAGAAGCATCACAGAATGATAGATGTGAGGAACAGCTTCACATTGAACGATAGATGGTGAGGAAAATGATCACACTGAATGACAGATGGTGAGAAGCATCACACTGAATGGTGGATGTGAGGAGAAACATGAATGATAGATGGTAAAAAGTTTTATTACTCATAATAGTAAGTGTTGAAGTGTTCATGCCGCGTCAGGGTTGAGTGTGAAAGCTTCCTCTTGCATGTCGCTCTGTTTCTGCTTTTAATATTATAATCATCTGTCTGAGCTGATTTTATAGAGGTTATGTTGAGGAACCAGACGCAGTGTCTGGAGGGTGAAGCAGATGTTTAGCTGCAGAAAGTCATGTGTGGCTCCTGACTCGGCTCTTTTGGTCCTGCATTAGACAGAACGGTCACTCACCTGGTACAGGTGTCTTCCCTTTGCAGATGTAGTCAGGAAGCCTCAGGTCTCGTATGGTCTGTTTCAGTGTTTTGATCTCGTCCTTCATAGCTGCGTTCTCTTTCCTCAGCTGAGCGTTCTCCTGAAGTATGTTGAGGTTTTTGGTGACCTCCACCAGTAGGTGTCTCTGCAGTGCCTCTATTGTGTAGTGATCTCTGATGTGGTTCTCACAGAAGGAGGCGAGGCAGGTCATACAGGACTTGTACGCTCTCAACTTCCTTCCTTCACACAGATCACAGGCCACGTCTCCAGCCTTGGCGTAGCGAAGGTTCTCCCTGCAGTCTTCACGGCTGATGTTCTGCGTTAGCTTGTGTGTCCTGTCAGTCTTCATACATACACCACTGTCTGCAACTGATCCAGATCTCAAACTAAAAGAGGCAAAATATATACATACCAGTGTAGAATGAACAGCAGGTACTCACAGTTTTTTTGGTAAAGGTTAAACGATAATCATATTTGAGTGATAATCACGTATCAGTTTCTCCGCAGTAGGAAGTGCGTGTTGAATTACCTTTCGTTGTCCTCTTTTTCTCTGCCATTCACACTGTTGGGTGTGGTCATGGACACTCCACTCATCATGGAAGATGATACTGACCTGTATGGCAGCAGCACAAAACACTGATGATTAATGACAGCTCAATTGTGTTTGTCATAACTGGAATATTATCTTGTGACCTTGATTCTTATTAATGTACACACTGAATTACAGTTGTATGCAAAACGTTTGAACACCTCAAATTACATGGTGTTTCTGTTATAGTGGAAAAAAGAGTGACATAATATATTAAATATATTAAATTCAACAGATAAACAGTAAACTGTGTATTGAAATGTGCAGAAGCGTGTGTTCACTGTAAAGGATCTGTAACCTATTTACACTTAAATCAACAACAACATGGAATTTGAACAGGGGTGCCTAAACTTTTGCATGCACCTGTATAAGAACCGTTCTACTGAATTACTTAGATATTTACAGTGATTGTGTTCTGATCTGTTTAAATCCAAGGCATTAATATATATGTATATATATATATATATATATATATATATATATATATATATATATATATATACACACAATCAGCATTTATGGGACACTTTCTATTGAAAGGAGTCTGTCCCAAACCCCAAGCCCTAAATTTATACTTATGGAAGTAATGCTTACGTTGTTTAATACTTTTTCAATTTTTTTAAAAGATCTTTTTGATTTCATTAAAAGTGATGTTAAAACAATAGGATCTAACCAGAGCTGGTTTATGAGGAGTCTGGCCGCTTCCTATTCCCCCCGTTATATCAAAAACATGACTGCTAAACAGCAGAGGGCGCCCGTGAGTGAGTCCTCAATGAATGGGAGTGAATGAAGCTCAACGGCTAAAAACTAAAAGTTAAAGTTTCTAATCACTGAACCAGAACTTTCCTTTAATTTTAGACAGTAGGAGGATGGATTTCACTAAAAAAACAAAGAAAACTCACCTGTATGTTTCCTTTATTCTACAGCAAACAGGTTTTGGGCAGCAGGAGGCCAACATTACTGCTACTGAGTGCTGATTGGTTGCCGAGCGGAGCAGCTCATTGACTGTTCGCGCTCACTGATGTCATGAACGTACATGAGGTGCCATTTAAAAACTCTTATAACTCGAGTTTAAAAGCTCTTAAAATATAACAGCAGTGCTAAAATGTTTTATGCTGCTCTGTGTTCAGGAAATGAATGAATTCTTTTACATTATAAACTATGATTTTGCTCAAATGCTCCATATTAACCCATTCATTTTGGACTCGCTCAGGAGCGCCCTCTAGAGTTTGAGAAACCTGGAAAACATTGCAGAGCGGAAATTCTCCTCTCTACAAGTTCTCTGATCTAACTGCTCACCATGTGGCCATGAGGGACAGGGATGCAGCCTCACTTCCTGCTCTGAAATGCAGGGGTGTGGCTAAAACTCTTTGTTTTTATAGTGACATGAAAACATGAGACTACGGAAGTCTGGAGAGGTCACGAGCAGCTGCTATAATTTTCTGGATTGTTATCTTGAGATCATGAGTTAATTAGCTTCTGATCTTAAGATAACAACTTTATTACTCGTTATGTCAAGATGACACTTATCTTGAGATCACAAGATAGTTAACTTATTATCACAAGATAATTAACTCATAATAAATTAAAATGTTTCAATTTCACTTCAAGATCTTAAAAAACACTGAAAAAAAGTGTAAATGTAGAGGTTATGGTTTGGGACAGACAAGAGCCCAATAAATTATGATTTTTTATATATTTAACTTATTACTATCTCTATTAATGCCTTGAGTTTAAATAGATTAGAATGTAATTCTGAAGATCTGAATGCTAAATTGTTTTTTTTATATTTTATTTTTTACTCTGGGAGCTCAGTTTGAACTAATTTGGGCAAAATGGCCCAATTAGGCTTCTTGTTTAATATATAATGCAGTCAAAGACACTCAGGCATCTCATCACCATCAGTGTAGAAGAAACAGGACGATTCCTTAGATCGAAATTAAATCTCAAAAACTGTAACTGTATAAATCACAAATCAGGGTCTCCCAAAGCTCCTAAAGAGGAAAGACGTGCTGAATTACCATGCGTCGTCCTCTTTTTCTCTCCCCCTCATTTTGATTGGCTGAGTCATGGACGAGTCACTCATCATGGAAGGTGAGTGTGACCTGTGGAGGTCAGCACAAACATCAGCACTAAACATTTCTACAGAAATGACTTAAGTTGTAAATGAAATCACTTAAGTCACTTAAGTTGTAAATGAAAACATAGTAAATATAATATTCTGTAACTATTACTGCTGTAGGGAGAAGCTAATAATATTACACAGCTACATAAAATAATAAAAACAGATAAAAATACAGCAGAAATAGCCAAAGAATAATTACAATTAATGATGAACAGATTTGTAATGAATTTAGTGAATTTCATCTCTCAGTAACATTAATATTCTTCTAATGCTGGTAATATTTTCTGATAAGGAGTTCCACCTTAAATGGAACCATTTAAGGTGGAATTTCTTGTCAGAAAATCTTACCAGCATTAAAAGAGGAATAAAGGAGAAAAGATGTGTATTTTAGTTTTGTTATTATATTCCATAATAATTTAGCTTCCAGTCCCCTCAGATAGATGCATCGGACTCAGCTGGTATTGACAACAATTTCCGAGTCCATCTCCCATTGGGGTCAAGACCAAGACAAGGCCGAGACCACTCATTTATGGTCTCGAGACCAAGACCAGACTCGACGTGCTGAATTACCATGCGTCGTCCTCTTTTTCTCTCCCCCTCATTTTGATTGGCTGAGTCATGGACGAGTCACTCATCATGGAAGGTGAGTGTGACCTGTGGAGGTCAGCACAAACATCAGCACCAAACATTTCTACATCCAGAATCACTTAAGTTGTAAATGAAAACATAGTAAATATAATATTCTGTAACTGACTGTCTACATAACATAATTAAAATAGCTAAAAATACAGCAGAAATAGACTAATTACAATTAATGATGTTCTATTAACACATTTGTAAACAACGTAATGAGCTGTGAATTTCAGCTCTCGATAACATGATTATTGTTTTAATGCTGGTTATATTCTCTGACAAGGAGTTCCTCCTTAAATGGCACCATCTAAGGTGGAATTCCTTATTGGAAATATTACCAGCATTAAAAGAAGAATAAAGGAGAAAAGACTGTTTATTCTGGTTTTGTTATTATATTTCATAATAATTCAGTTTCCAGTTCCCTCAGACGAAGGCATCGGACTCGGCTAGTCTCGACAACAATTTCCGAGTCCACCTCACCCTGGGACCGAGACAAGACCGAGTCCCAATGGGGTCAAGACCGAGACAAGACCGAGACCACTCATTTATGGTCTCGAGACCAAGACCAGACTTGAGCACTACAACACTAGTATCACAAATCAGGGTCTCCCAAAGCTCCTAAAGAGGAAAGACGTGCTGAATTACCATGCGTCGTCCTCTTTTTCTCTCCCCCTCATTTTGATTGGCTGAGTCATGGACGAGTCACTCATCATGGAAGGTGAGTGTGACCTGTGGAGATCAGCACAAACATCAGCACCAAACATTTCTACATCCAGAATCAGTTCAGCTGATGAGTGTTTATTTCTCACATTATGAGGAGCCTCAGTGTTCAGAGTTCAGTGTTCAATCAAATCAACACAGTTTTCCTCCCTTTCCTCAAATGTAGTCGATCAGCCGAGTCGTGTTCATGTTTGTCTGCTTTTCTTTCTGGAGCTACGAGGCTAATGTGGCTAACGGTAGCTAAAGGAAGACCATGCCCAGAATTGGTGGTAAGAAATTTTGAGCCCACTAAAAGTTTTTAAGCAAACCTCACCTCATTTCTGTTATCAGAACCTTTCACAGCGTTAAATCATGGTGAATTGTTCATAACTCTACTCTTTATTTTATTAAAGCGCCATAATGCCAGGCTTTACTGAGCAGCAGGCTGTGAACATCACAGACATATTCACATAGACGCCGCACTGGACGCTGGATCGTACATTAACAGCACCGCCATATTGGTCCAGGCACCTTTTCATAACTCTCAGGGGACTGGACTGGAAGAAAGACGAGTCCCGTGCAGCTCAGCGCTGTACAAACAGCTCACAATCCAATCAGATCTCAGGGAACTACCTTTCACAGGTAAGACTGAGCAGCTGTTTTTGGTTTTATTTGGACGTTATAACAGCATGTTGAGAGCTGACTGGTTGGCCACCAGAGTCAGACTATTAATAGCTAACGTCAGCATTAGCACTAGCTGGCTATAAAAGCTGAGACTTTATAAGAAATTATATCCCAATTTTTTAATATTTCATTGTGGGAGCTCAGTTTGAACTAATTTGGGTAAAATGGCCCAATTAGGCTTCTTGTTTATCATATAATGCAGTCAAAGACACTCAGGCATCTCATCACCATCAGTGTAGAAGAAACAGGACGATTCCTTAGATCGAAATTAAATCTCAAAAAACTATAACTGTAAGAATTAGTGTCAAATTCGAGTCCAGACCGAGACCAGGACACTTAGAGTCCAAGTCAAGACCAAGACCAGGAGTGGCTGAGACCGAGTCAAGGCTGAGACTAGATTAAGATTTTTTTTAAATAAAAAAATAAACAAATAAAATTCGTTTGTAGTTATTTGTACATTCATAATCATGAATCATACACTATATATACTAATACACAATATGACATTTATTACAGACTTTATAAAATGTAACATTAAATAATATTTAGCCTAAGACATTATTAATTGTTATCATATTATGGTCTTAGTCAGACGTTGCAGTGCACTGGAAGCAGTTGTCAGGTTCCTTTCCTCTCTAAAACTCATTCAGAATCACCACGTGAAGTCAAATGAACGTAGCGCTGCAGTGCGAGGAGCAGCAGGTTTAGTACACAGAGAAAGCACTGCTTATTCTTTTTATCCTGGTTTTATTGATAGTTGATAATAATTCAGCTTCCAATTCCCTTTAGATGGAGGCATAGGACTCGACTGGTCTCGACAACGATTTCCGAGTCAGCCTCACCCCGAGGCTGAGAGTCCCAATGAGGTTGAGACAGAGAACACTACTTAATGGTCTTGAGACCAAGACCAGAGTCGAGCACTACAACACCAGTAAGAATCACAAACCAGAGTCTCCCAAAGCTCCTAAAGAGGAAAGACGTGCTGAATTACCATGCGTCGTCCTCTTTTTCTCTCCCCCTCATTTTGATTGGCTGAGTCATGGACGAGTCACTCATCATGGAAGGTGAGTGTGACCTGTGGAGGTCAGCACAAACATCAGCACCAAACATTTCTACATCCAGAATCACTTAAGTTGTAAATGAAAACATAGTAAATATAATATTCTGTAACTGACTGTCTACATAACATAATTAAAATAGCTAAAAATACAGCAGAAATAGACTAATTACAATTAATGATGTTCTATTAACACATTTGTAAACAACGTAATGAGCTGTGAATTTCAGCTCTCGATAACATGATTCTTGTTTTAATGCTGGTTATATTCTCTGACAAGGAGTTCCTCCTTAAATGGCACCATTTAAGGTGGAATTCCTTATCAGAAAATATTACCAGCATTAAAAGAAGAATAAAGGAGAAAAGACTGTTTATTCTGGTTTTGTTAAGATATTCCATAATAATTCAGTTTCCAGTTCCCTCAGACGGAGGCATCGGACTCGGCTAGTCTCGACAACAATTTCCCATCTCCCATTGGGGTCAAGACCGAGACGAGACTGAGACCACCCATTTATGGTCTCGAGACCAAGACCAGAGTCGAGCACTACAACACTAGTATCACAAATCAGTGTCTCCCAAAGCTCCTAAAGAGGAAAGACGTGCTGAATTACCATGCGTCGTCCTCTTTTTCTGTCCCCCTCATTTTGATTGGCTGAGTCATGGATGAGTCACTCATCATGGACGGTGAGTGTGACCTGTGGAGGTCAGCACAAACATCAGCACCAAACATTTCTACATCCAGAATCAGTTCAGCTGATGAGTGTTTATTTCTCACATTATGAGGAGCCTCAGTGTTCAGAGTTCAGTGTTCAATCAAATCAACACAGTTTTCCTCCCTTTCCTCAAATGTAGTCGATCAGCCGAGTCGTGTTCATGTTTGTCTGCTTTTCTTTTTGGAGCTACGAGGCTAATGTGGCTAACGGTAGCTAAAGGAAGACCATGCCCAGAATTGGTGGTAAGAAATTTTGAGCCCACTAAAAGTTTTTAAGCAAATCTCACCTCATTTCTGTTATCAGAACCTTTCACAGCGTTAAATCATGGTGAATTGTTCATAACTCTACTCTTTATTTTGTTGACCATCTGAATGTCAAATGCAGATATCTGAACACTGAAGTGTCTCACCTCACATCCATCTTCTTCAGGGGAACTCCTGGAATTTCTGGATGTCGTCACTGTGCGGAGTGGATCAAAGCTCCGTCCTGTTTGTAGCTAATGAGGATTTTAGATCAATAATCAATACAGAACAGCAGATCTTATTCATAATCACAGCTGATACTACAGTACAGAACTACAGGAGTCTGTAATGGAGAGTTAATCACTGTTTAACGTCGTGTTTCAGTCTCAGCACAGTAGCAGGTGCAGCTTCATACTGTAGACCATCTAGACTGAACAACATCTGATATTAAACACTACAGATAGAATAAATATCAGATCTGTCAGTCTTACCGTGTGTCCATTTGTTCGTGTAATCCAAATTGTTTTGATTCCTCTTGTTTTTCTTTAATCCGTCATAGGAGACGTTTCCCGTCTGAGATGTGGAGGAAGTGCAGTTCAGAGCTCAGAGCTGCTCCTGTTTCACTGGAATGTAGATTTTCAGGATCAGAAGGTAAAGTATGATGAGGTCATAGAAATATTTTTGTTTTATGTAACACAGGACTGAATACAGGTTCTGTGATTGTAGAGTTGAAAAGTGTGGGGTTCAGTCCCCGCCTGGGTAAGCACCCTATACTAGACCAATAAGAGTCCTTGGGCAAGACTCCTAACACTACCTTCACCTACCTGTGTGAATATGACCACGTTGTAAGTCGCTCTGGATAAGAGTGTCTGCCAAATGCTGTAAATGTAACCCACAGTAAACAGTTATTATTATTATTATTATACAGTCCTGTTATTTAGAGCAGGGGTATCAAACTCAACCAGTAAAAGTGCCGTATTAAAAAATCTCATCAAATCTGTGGGCCAGAGAAAAAAACGATTTTATTTCATTTTTATTTAAGGTTGTGCTGTAACCTGAACTGGCCATTGTTTATTCAAAATATGCAAAAACTTCAGAAGTAAAATATAAGCACTTGTAGTAGACCTTGAAATATCACATGGACACTTGAAATATTAAAAATGTAAACGTCCCCAGGAGCTCAGTCTTTTAAACCTACCTATTTGCTTGAACCAGACTCCTGGCATCCTTTCTTTACTGCAGGTTCATTAAGACTTAGGCCCAGTATCTGAGCTGCTGAGCTGACGTTCAGTGTTCATGTTGTTTGAGCTGCAGCTGAAATGCATTTCGGTAAAAATGACTGGTGTGGAATTGTGTAGAATTGAGGTGTAACCACTGTCCCATATGTTGTTGTTGGTGTCGGAGAGTCGGAGCGCACATTACATTGCAGTGCATGCTGGGGACTGTAGTGCAGCACATTATGAAATGAGCTAATATTAATAGAAAATTAAAATACAAGGTGATTCAAAAAGATTCATCCGATTTCAAAGCGCCATATTTTTACAACCGTGAGGCGCCGAGGAACCAATCACAATCCAATTGAAAGAGGGGGTCATAGAGTTTCTGACTGTCAGTGGAAGATGGCTCCCTTCAGTCTGAGAGGAGATGAGACTCCTGAGCAGAAAGCGTTCTGCGTTCTCCACTTCAATAAGAGTGAATCCGTCATAACTGTGCAGTGTGATTTTCGTGGGCAGTGAAGCTCCAACAGCTCAGAGCGTTCGGCGTTGGTTCCACAACACTGGATGATCTCCGAAAACGCACTGAAAGAGCCGTGAGTGCAGCGACACCCGACACGCTCAATCCAGTATGAGATGAATCTGACTATGGCGTTGATGTTGTCTGTACAGCTGGAGGAGGTTCAGACTGAGACCTTGTACAATTACATAATAAACTTTATGCTCATTTAAACCATTTACAGTTCACTGCACTGATCTGTAACGATTTGCAAGGGAAATGAATCATTTTGAAATCGGATGAATCTTTTTGTTTCACACTGTACTTTTGCAGGCCAGATAGGATTGTATGGCGGGGCTGACCTGGCCTGCGGACATTGTGTTTGACACATGGGGTTTAGAATCTTCTTCACTGTTTTAAATTAAAGAGTGTGATGTATTGTGTAAATGCTGTTTCAAAACATACTGTTCACTCACCAGTGCATGCAGCCCATATACAGAAACTGTACTGTAAAAACAGCCCACTGTTTTTATGATGTAACAAAACCAACAAATTTGCACATATCTACTTTTTTAGGCTACAGCAATTTAGCCCTGCCCACTCACATTGAAAATATAAGGTGTTTTTTGAATGTGGCATAATAGGAAAGCCAATCATAACAGAGCTCATTTACATATATCAGTCTTACAGGTACAGTAACAAAAGCAGCCTGTTTAACTGTAAGGGATAAAGACAGGTTAAAAATGATCATGTAAAAATAAATTATGACTGTTTTTGGCACATAAAACAAAATATAAGTGAAGCTCAGAGAGAAAAATAAGAGATAGGAAAAAATAGAGGATATGGACCCTTTCAGCAACTATAGATACACAAGTTACTGAAAAATACAGTAATAATACAATAATAATAGTTACACACATAAATTAGTAGTAATATGAAAAAAATAAGACAACAATAATTTTCAAAAAGGTGCTATATAGAACACATCCCGCATCAATCACCACACAAAAAACATTTAAGCATACAAATGAATGATTCTTTTATTTTTTTGTTACTTACTTAAAAAGAAATTAATTATTTAAATAATATAATACTCATCACTTGTCTGTGAAGCACTTTGAGAATGTCTTTAGCATGAAAACTGCTCGGTGAGTAAATATTGCTATTTTTATCAGTATATTATTATTTTTCACATGGTGGGTTAGTAGCCATTTATATATAGCTATCTACAGCTGATGATACTCGCTCTAAAATTTAGGAATAATCTTTGTGCTGAGATGCTCACAGGAAACCCAGTTCTGATGAGCTGAATCAGGTGCAGTGAGAACATTAAAATGTGCAGGTCAGTGTTGCTCCAGGGCCAGGATTAGGAAACATTGGCTAACCCACAGTGGCCCTGCATCTCTCCTGCGAGCCTCTGTCGAAAGCCAGTCACATTTTTGCTTTTTGCCACACACACTTCTAAGACCTTATACTCATGTCTGCTTTAAGCCACACCCATGTATATATATACGTATGTATGTATCAGTATTGAAGTTCAGGCATAGGCACTGTCAACCTTTTTTGTATTGAAAATATTGATGTGAATATTGATGCCCAACCATAATACTGACTATTTTATTAGCCAGATATATCAGTCAACTTAAGTATGTTAAGTCCACTCTGCTGCCATGTGGAAGGAAATGACAAAACGAAGTAAATAAAATAAGACATAAATGACATAAAAAATCATATTAAACTCATCAGAGATTGACAACACTTTAAAGAAATCAAGAGAATATCACATTGTTGGACAGCTTTTTATTTGCATTGGAGTGGTTTGTTCATATAATGTATCCTGAGACAAAATCAATCCTCTAAACTGTTTTGCATATTTTTAAAATAAAATGGATTTTTTTCATTCTGACTTACAATCCAGCTACAACAAAAGAGCCGACATTGACATCAATCAAAACAACTGACATTGACATTAATTAAAACCTACGGCAGTTTAGCCACGCCCATTTAGCATAAGCATGCTAGCCCCACCCATTCAGTGCACAGCAGGTTAACCACGCCCACTCCTTGCACAGCAGGTTAGCCCCACCCATTCCCGTTGAAGTGATGTGGAGTGTTGTTCCTGCAGACAGTCTGTACTTATTAGTTATTGGAGTGGAAATTGTGGGAAAATTATTAAACGTTGAGCTACTGAAGGATTTAAAGGGAACAACTCAAGTTTAATTTTTTTTCCCCACAGCCCTGAGAATTTCAGTCCTAACTTGACAGTTTGTTCCACGTAAATCTGCAACCCTGCATGTCCATGACTAAGCAGAACTCCAGCATAGATGAAGGAAGCATAGATAACAGAAAGTGTTGATCAGGTAGCTAATATTAAAATTACATGAAAGTTTGTAAGGATAAATTGTTTCAGACGGTATGCTGTAGTCATCACTGTTACATAGTTGGATAACATAAAATCATCTATTGGTGTGTGATAGCTTGCTAACTTGCTAAAATGGTTGCAGAAGTATCTAACCTAAGCCCTTTTATTTACATCTGCCCAATCAGCAGCTCCTACTGCCATATTACAGACCTGACTGCAAGGCATAGTACACTGCAGCCAATCAGAGCAGGAATAATATACAATAAATCTAAAATACAAGACCAATGTGTTATGCTAGTAAAGGACTGGTTTGGCCAAAAATCAAATGTACACAACTGTCCACTGACCCCAGATACTGGTGCGCAGCCAAGATATGTCTGGTCCAAATTTTGCATCTTTTGTTTAGTGCTGGAGCTACGAGGCTGATGTTGCTAACAAACACTAGAAGTCAACAGTTACGTAAGTCTTTTCCAAAAATATACGTCTGAACCTGCATAAACTGCACCCAGGTCTTCATTAAAGTGGTACAGACTTGTATATGTGGATTAGGGCACAGTATGACTTACTGTGAGCTACAAATATGAACAAAACATCATCACGTAGCTGATAGCAGCCACCAGCTGTTTTAGACAACAGATGTTGTGCCGATTTCCAGCCCCCCTTCACGTTTACTAGTGGACTTGTGGACGCTAAAAATTATGTTCAACAGAAATCTTGATTGCAGCTTTCGTCTGGTTGCATGATGAGAGGGAGTTCAGCACAGCACCGTACCTGTTGTCTAAAACAGCTAACTGCAGCGTTCAGCTACTCAGTGATGTTTTGTTTATGTTTATAGCTCACAGCAAGTCCTACTGTGTCCCAAACCACATCTACAAGTCTGTGCCACCTTAATGAAGACCTGGGTTTGGTTTGAGAGACATTTGGGGGATGATATTTACGTAAAAGATTTGGGTGACTATTGACTTCTACTGTTTGTTAGCTACATTAGCCTTGTAGCCCCAGCACTAGACTAAAGAAGCAAAATTTGGGCACCAAACACGTCTTGGCTGGTTGACTACATCTGGGGTAAGTGGACACACCTGATTCAGCTTATAAGATGATGTATCAAATCAAGCTGCAACCACTACTGCGTGTGATAGCCTAGCCTAGCTCAATGGGTAGGAATAATACACTGTTTAGAATGTATTTATTTCAGCCCACAGTCTTAATCTTCAGGCCCACTGATTTCTCCAAGGTGGTGAAAACAGGATAGATCTTCTCTCCGTCTGTGAAGTTCATCTGTCTGAATGTGTAAATGTGAGTTTTAGTCTCAGCGTTATAAAAAGCGACCCACTTCTCATCCACATCGACACAGACCCCCAACACCCGGGGTGCAGTGTCGATTGGCAGGGGTCTGCTGGGCTCCTCCAGAGCTGTGAAGGACTGTCTGTAGTGATAGAGACACCAGTAACCCACACTGGGTGAGAAGGTGAACTTTCCCTTCCTCTGAGCCGACTCTCTGGTGACCCCAATAGTGAACTCCTTGTTGACCTCCACCTCCCAGTAGTGCCGTCCAGAGCTGAAGCTTTCTGTGGCCAGGACGCACTCATACTTGTCAAATCTCCGTGCACTGTGATTAACTGTTTTCCTTTCCCCCAGTCGCACTCGTTTTCTGTCATCTAACAAGACAAGCGTGCAGTGAGCTGTTTCAGGATCCAACGTCAAATTAGCTGTGAAGAGAAAATAACAGAATGTTTACTTATCCAGGTCTCTCCCTATTAGACACCAAGCTGGAAGGGTGAAGGCTAGCATTCGCTACCTCAGAGCATCACACTGAACAATAGAGGGTAGAAGAGAAGCAGCACGATACACAACAGAGAGGTGAAGGAGAAGAGCAGCACATTGAATGATAGAGGGACAGGACACATTCAGAAAGCATCACACTGAAAAAGAGGGACAGAGGGAGAGAGTATCACACTGAACGATAGAGGGAAAGAGAGTATCACACTGAATGGCAGAGAGAGAGAGAGTATCACACTGAATGGCAGAGAGAGAGAGAGTATCACACTGAATATCAGAGGGAGAGAGTATCACACTGAACGACAGAGGGAGAGAGTATCACACTGAAAATCAGGGAGAGAGTATCACACTGAACGATAGAGGGAAAGAGTATCACACTGAACGACAGAGGGAAAGAGAGTTTCACACTGAATATCAGAGGGAGAGAGTATCACACTGAATATCAGAGGGAGAGAGTATCACCCTGAAAATCAGGGAGAGAGTATCACACTGAACGATAGAGGGAAAGAGTATCACACTGAACGATAGAGGGAAAGAGTATCACACTGAACGATAGAGGGAGAGAGAGTTTCACACTGAAAATCAGGGAAAGAGTATCACACTGAACGACAGAGGGAGAGAGTATCACACTGAACGATAGAGGGAAAGAGTATCACACTCAGGCCCACTTTGGCCGCATATTGCAGTCGCCTATAGGCACATTCTGCGCTGTGGCTGCGCTCGCACTTATACATAAAGCCCTGAGAGTTCTTAAGTTCAGAGTGTGCTCATGTGTGGAACCCAACAATCCCTTGTCTTCACTAGATGGAATGATACTTCATCTCACTCACCTGCTGCAGGTATTTTCCCTTTGCAAATGTAGTCAGGGAGCCTCAGTTCACAGATCATCTGCCTCAGTGTAGCGATCTCTTTCCTCAGAGCCATCTTCTCTGACCGTTCCTCCTTGATTATTTTCTTCAGCTGAGCGTTCTCCTGAAGTATGTTGAGGTTCTTGGTGACCTCCACCAGTAGGTGTCTCTGCAGTGCATCTACTGTGTAGTGATCTCTGACATGTGCCTCGCAGAAGGAGGCAAGGCAGGTCATACAGGACTTGTACGCTCTCAACTTCCTTCCTTCACACAGATCACAGGCCACGTCTCCATCCTCAGCGTAGTGAGGGCTCGGCCTGTGTTCTTCATTGGGTGGGTTAGTAGCCATAGACATGTAGCTACATGCAGCTGACATCCTCCCAGAGACCAGACTAAAACAAATTAAATAAACTTTTAGATAATATCCAATTTACATAACATTTATTAAGCCAATCCATAGCTAGAACCCATATCACACATGTAATAAAAAAATACATAAGTACATAAATGACCAGAAATAGTTAATCGTTTATTACATTAAATTCTAGCTGCTTAATTATGAATAAAACAGCAGTGTTGACTTCCCTGTCACATAGAGGACACTGTATGTATGTGTGTACCCACTCTTTCTCATAAGACCACGTACAGATTTATTCTAAAAGCATTTTGTTAAAATACACTTCTTGAATGCATAAACCCCATTTCCAGAAAAGTTGGGACATTTTGTAAAATACAATAAAAACAATTTAGGATTTGTTAATTGTCTTGAGCCTTTATTTAACTGACAAAAATACAAAGGAATTAGTTTTAATATTTAAGCTGAGCAACTTATTTGTGTTCTGTAAATTTAGAATTTAGTACCTGCAACACACTCAAAAAAGTTGGGACTGAGCCAAAATAAGAGTGAAAAGTTATAGAATACTCAAGTTATGCCATTTTTAAACATTCCACAGTAAACAAGTGAACTGGTAACAGGTGAGGGGATCATGATTGGGAATAAAAGAAGCATCCAGCACATGCTCAGTCTCTGTAAGCAAAGATGGTTCATGGCTCACCACTTTGTACCGAACTTACCGAGAACATCCAGAGAACAAACACTGAGAATGGACTCTTATAATTACCTGGGTTTTCACCTCAGGAATACACTGGATTGGTCAGATAACAGTGGACTTAACAGGAAAGACCAGAGTAGATTCTACCTGCTAAGGAGACTGATGTCGTTTGGAGTGCAGGGGGCGCTCCTGAGGATCTTTTTTGACACTGTGGTGACATCATCCATCTTTTATGGAGTGGTCTGCTGGGGCAGCATCTCAACTGTGGACAGGAAGAGACTTGACAGACTCATTAAGAGGGCCAGCTCTGTCCTGGGAAGCCCCGCTAGACCCAGTGCAGGCGGTGGGAGACAGGAGGTGTTAGCCAGACTAGCATCCATGCTGGAGAACAGCTCCCACCCCATGACTGAGACTCTGGCAGCACTGGGCAGCTCCTTCAGTGACTGGCTGCTTCACCCCAAGTGTGTGAAGGAGGCTATCGCAGGTCCTTCCTTTCTGCTGCTGTTAGACTGTACAACCAGCACTACTCCCATGTTGCCTATATGGTAATAAGTAACAAACTGTAACCTTGTTAAGTAATTAACAAGGTTAATACCTTGTTTGTTAATTCACTTCTTGATGCTTCTTCTCTTGAGTGCCTTGTTATGCCTTTGCTGTTGTAGCACGGTGAATTTCCCCTGTTGTGGGACTGATAAAATGTTATCTTATCTGGAGAAATCTCAGTCTGCGTAGGGCAAATCCGGAAACCACTGTTGAATGTGCATGACTTTCAAACCCTCAGATGACACTGCATGAGAAATCATCATGCTACTGTGTTAAATATAACCACATAAGCTCGGGAGAACTTCAGAAAACTGTTCTCACTTAACAGAGTCCACCACTGCATCAAGAAATGCGACTTGAAACTATCACACAAGGAGAAAGCTATACATCAATTCTATGCAGAAATGCCGCCGAGTTCTCTGGGCTTATCTCAGCTCATCGCAGATGGTCGAAAACACACTGTTAATCTGTGCTGTCAGATTGTGTTATGGAAAAGAACCATCCAGACCTTTATCAGTGAAAGGTGCAAAAGTCAACATCTGTCATGGAATGGGGGGTGCATCAGTGCCCACGGCATGGGTGACTCGCATATGTGGGATGCAGAGGTGTAAGTTGGGATTTTAGAGAGACATATGCTGCCATAAAGTTAATGTTTTTCCCAGGAGGTCCACGGTTATTTCAGTAGGACAGCGCCAGGCCTCTTTCTGCGCATACTACAACAGCGTAGCTTCATAGACACAGAGTGTGTGAGCTTGACTGGCCTGCCTGCAGTCCAGATCTGTCACCTATTGAAAATGCACAGCGCATCTTGAAGAGCAGAATCAGACAAAGACAACCATGGACTGCTGAGCAGCTGAAGTCTTGTGTCAAGAGAGAATGGGCAAAAAATTCCACTTGCAGAATTGCAACAGTCGGTATCCTCAGCTTCCAAACGATTAAACAGTGTAATTAAAAGGACCATTAAAAGGTGACGTACCACAGAGGTAAACACAACTTTTTTGAGTGTGGTGCAGGCATCAAACTTCAAATTTGTTTATATTTACAAAATTCACTTAAGTTGGTCAGTGAAACACTGAACATCTTTTATTTGTACTTTGTTAGTTAAATAAAGGTTTAAAGGAATTAACAAATCACAGATTCTTGTTTTTATTGCTTTATTGCCTTTTAAGAAAATGTCCCAACTATTCTGGAAATAGGGTTTGTAGCTATATGGCTTTTTATTTTAGATATTTATTTATTACATCGAGCTTAGAGTCCTTAATTTTGTATTTGTAATGATGTATCAAGTGTTATCAAATGACTTACTTTCTGTTTTTAAAGGGAACATTAATGGCACATGGGTAGAAAACAAGGTCAGACACTAGCCAGAGAAAAGTAGGCCACCTCATAAATACTTTAAAATCTACTTTGAACTGTATTTGTACAAAAACAGTACAAAGACTAGATGTAATGTTTTATCTTATCAACTTAATGGTATTGTGGTCTGATGAGTCAACGTTTCAGATCATTTTTGGAAATAATGGATGTCGTGTTCTCCAGGCAAAAAAAGACCATCCAGATTGTTACCAGCATAAAGTTTTAAAACCAGCATCTGTCATGGTGTGTGGGGGTATTAATGGGTGACCAGCACATCTGTGAAAGCAACATTATCACTGAACACATTTTAGAGCAACAAAATATGACACCAAAGGCCCTGTACGGTTGCACAGCTGAAGACTTGTACAACCAAAGAATGTCAAAAATGTAGCTTTCAAAACTGGATCATTTTGTGTCTTTAGCCCACAAACGGTTATGAAGTACTGGTAAAGGTGATGTTACACAGAGGTAAACATGCTCCTGTGCCAACTTTTTTGGAATGTTGCGGGCATCGAATTTGGAATAAACGTTTATTTACAAAATGAAGTTTACAATGAAGCTTATAAGGTAAAGCATTAATGCTTTCTGTTTTTTATTAATGTTTCACATACTGTCCCAACTCTTTTGAGTTTGGGGTAGTAGTAATAGTAGGAATAATACTTATTATTGAAATATTATTATATTAGTAGTAATAGTGCTAATAATAATGAATAATAAATGAATAATAAATAGTTTGTTCTTAAATGTGTTCTTGGAAAAAGGTCCTGAGAAAAAGTCTACGTCAGATTCATGACGTGTTCTTAAAGCACAGAACTGTTCTCACCTTTGTGCTCTTGAGTGTGTGTAGAATCTCTTCTTATGTAAGAACAGAATCCACACACACTCAGAAGAAACACTGGTTTGCAATGCGTAAAAAAATGTATAAGTGTGTTTTATGAAGAAATTTCTTATTAAGAATGGTTGGTGAATAGGGCCCAATATGAATAGTAATAATACTGTGTATTGATAATATCAGTAGCTGATAAAATGTGTGGTTCTACCAGACACTGCAGGCAGATGAACTGAACTACCTACAGGTACATAATAAAGTTAAGAAATGATACATACAGTCTAAAAAGTGGTGTTGAATTACAACATACATACTTGTGTTACCTGAATTGTAAAAGTGAAAATATAACCAAAATGTGTTGTCCTCAACTGATCACACCAGTGCGTCTACTTAGTAATGATCTGTTTTAACACATCTGTTTTAAGAGTGTATATATATTTCAATTTCATTAAAAAATATAATTCAATTAATTTAAAAATCACTAAAGCTTCTTTAGTGCAAAGCAGTTCACAAAGCAGATTGTTTACCTTTCAACATCCAGGTTATCTGCTTCTTTAAAGTCAATAGGTCGATCCGCTGACCAGTCGCTCGCTGCAGACACACAGCTGGGTGACTTTGACCTGTCCGTCATTGTGTTTCAGAAGAAAACAGTAAGAGCTCTTATGAGGAACCTTACAATGTTTCATTATAACATTAAATATCAAATGAACAAAGTTTTCCCTCCATTTCCTCAAATGTAGTTTCAATTCTTAATGTTCCACACTGATTTTCAGACTTTGGAGGCTCCGCCCACAGCCTAAAACTCTTTGTGTTTTGATAGTGACATGGAAATGGGAGACAGCATTGTTTATTAAAAAATTAAACTCGTGATGATTTAAAATCTTTTACTTTAACTTTAAAAGAAGTCATTAAAAAATCACATAAAAAATAAAAATGTGACTTCATTGGTTCTTATTTAACAAGTACTCAACCAGTGAGGTCAAAGGTCACTAAGTGATGTTAATGCAATACACTTTTTGCCAAATTCAGCAAAGCTCTCCTCACAGTCTGCTACAAAGTGATTCAGACTGAACAACATAACGCTCGTGCTCGTGCACAGTGGGAAGGGGAGGGGCTACATGCTGAGCTCCACGCATTGTCAAGAAGGAGAGATGGCTGAGAAACAGCCAAAGAGGAGACGATCTGAAGAACAAAGACTGAGAAAGTAGTTCTTAGATCAGGCGAGGGCGTTTCAGCGGTGGAGACCTCTGAGAGCTGACGGGGCTGAAGTTGGCTTCCCGTTTCACCTTAAATGGTACAGTAATTACATTCGAGTGCCTTTTGTTTGAATTTTCCTACTAGAATGTAACTCCTGCACCATTTGAGATGGAACGGGTTAATTTCCAAAAAGAAGCTGGTTAAAAAGAAGCTGACTTTGAGAGTTAAAATGCATGAAAAGGGATGAGGAGGCTGCTCTGTTTCAGGGCAACATTAACTCATTTCTGCTGTTTCACAGAACCAACAGGTCGGTATTGTTTTGTCCCATTTGCTAATCGTTGTTATAGCAACTGCTTAGCTTTGCATCAGGAAATGTAGCGACAGTTTGCTAACCCACAACCTAGCTAACATTAACTACATTACTTACTGTGTGGTTGTTCACTCTAGTGTTATGTCATGGTGTTTGTCTGTACAACATTTGTGAAGAGTTTTATGGCCACGAAGGTCTGAAAAGACAAGTTAGCCAGCCCAGTGTCGTTCGCTTGGAAATGCACGTCCATGAATTTGGGGGACGGAGCCTCTAAAGGAGCACTGAAGGGAGGAGTGTGTTTATTTTGCTGCTGAATTCAAATATCAGCAATCGTTCTCCAGAATTGCTGACTCCGCCTTTCAGCAGTGAAAACTTTATGGTTACATTTCTGAACGAATGTAAATCATTAAAGCTGCTTTAGTGTAAAGCAGTTCACAAAGCAGATTGTTTACCTTTTAACATCCATGTTCTCTGTTCCTTTAAAGTCAATAGGTCGATCTGCTGACCAGCCGCTCGCTGCAGACACACAGCCGGGTGACTTCGGCCTGTCCGTCATTGTGGTTCAGGAGAAAACAGTAAAAGTTCTTATGAGCAAACTAACAATGTTTTATTATAAATTTTTTAAGATTAAATATGAAATGAACAAAGTTTTCCCTCCATTTCCTCAAATGTAGTTACAATTCTTAATGTTCCACACTGATTTTCAGACTTTGGGATACATTTACTTTAAAACAATGGGATCTAACTGCTCACCACTGAAATACGGCTCCCCCTAGAGCCTAAAATTCTTTGTGTTTTGATAGTGACATGAAAATGTGTGACAGCATTTTTTATTTAAAAATTAAACTCCTGATGATTTTAAATCTTGTAAAAATCTTTAAAAGAAATCAAAAAGGTCTTTAAAACAAGCACATAAAAAACAAAAATATATGACTTTTTCAGTTATTACTTAATAAGTACTCAGCCAGTGAGGTCAAAATTGGTTTGTTTTACACTAAAAGGGGCAGTAAGTGATGTTAATGCAATTCATGGTCCGCTAGCTGTCAGCACTGTGTTTGAGCTGGAAAAAATCCAGTGTTCATGCACAGCGTGGTTCGTACAAAGTGGTTCGAACTGAACAACATGATTCAGCAACACGCTTGTGCTCGTGCACAGTGGGAAGGGGAGGGGCTCCATGCAGGAGAGATGGCCGAGAAACAGCCAAAGAGGAGGAGATCTGAAGATGTTTTTAGATCAGGCAAGGGAGTTTTCGGCGGTGGAGAGTCCTCCAGGAGCTGATGGGGCTGAAGTTCGCTTCCTATTCACATTTTCCTGTTCCACCTTAAATGGTGCAGTAGTTACATTCAGGTGCCTCTTGTTATAATTTTCCCACCAGAATGTAACTGCTGCACCACTCAAGTTTACTCAAGAAGATGGTAAAAAAGAAGCTGACTTTGAGAGTTAAAATGCATGAAAAGGGATGAGGAGGCTGCTCTGTTTCAGGGCAACATTAATTCATTTTTGCTGTTTCACAGAACCAACAGGTCGGTATTGTTTTGTCACGTTTGCTAATCTTTGTGTTTATGGTCACGAAGATCTGAAAAGACAAGTTTGCCAGCCCAATGTTGTTCGCCTTGGCAATGCACATCCATGAATTTGGGGGACGGAGTGTCTAAAGGAGCACTGAAGGGAGGAGTGTGTCTATTTTGCTGCTGAATTCAAATATCAGCAATCGTTCTCCAGAATCGCTGACTCCGCCTTTCAGCAGTGAAAACTTAATGGTTACATTTCTCAACAAATGTAAATCATTAAAGCTGCTTTAGTGCAAAGCAGTTCACAAAGCAGATTGTTTACCTTTTAACATCCATGTTCTCTGTTCCTTTAAAGTCAATAGGTCGATCTGCTGACCAGCCGCTCGCTGCAGACACACAGCCGGGTGACTTCGGCCTGTCCGTCATTGTGGTTCAGGAGAAAACAGTAAAAGTTCTTATGAGCAAACTAACAATGTTTTATTATAAATTTTTTAAGATTAAATATGAAATGAACAAAGTTTTCCCTCCATTTCCTCAAATGTAGTGACAATTCTTAATGTTCCACACTGATTTTCAGACTTTGGGATACATTTACTTTAAAACAATGGGATCTAACTGCTCACCACTGAAATACGGCTCCGCCTACAGCCTAAAATTCTTTGTGTTTTGATAGTGACATGAAAATGTGTGACAGCAATTTTTTATTTAAAAATTAAACTCCTGATGATTTTAAATCTTGTAATTTAACTTTAAAAGAACTCCGCCTTTCAGCAGTGAAAACTTTATGATTACATTTCTCAACGAATCATTAAAGCTGCTTTAGTGCAAAGCAGTTCACAAAGCAGATTGTTTACCTTTTAACCTCCTGGTTCACATTTCCTTTAAAGTCAATAGGTCGATCCGCTGACCAGCCGCTCGCTGCAGACACACAGCCAGGTGACTTTGGCCTGTCCATCATTGTGGTTCAGGAGAAAACATTAAGACTTCTTATGAGGAACATTTAAATGTTTCTTGTATTTTTAATGTGAAAAATCAAATGAACACAGTTTTTCCTCAATTTAATATAGTCGATCACCTGAGGCGTGTTTGTTGTCTGAGGTTTGCTTTTTGAATTTTATCACTGGAGCTACGAGGTTAATGCAGCTCCAAGTAATGGAAGATTAAGCCCAGAATTGCTTGTGAGAAATTTATTACATACATAAAAATTACATACATACCTCAACTCATTTCTGTAAGCAGAACCTTTCACAGCATAAAAACATGGTGAAATATTCATAGCCCTACTCTTAATTTTCTTATAGCTCCATAATTCCAACTCCCACTCAGCAAGCTGTAAATATGACTATAAAGAGCATGACTTAATATCAATATACAAAAATCTATATACTATATATTGACATTTTTACGTTTCTACAGTGCTGCATCTTGGATGTTGAAGCAAAACTCTATAATTAGCTGATTTCGACTCATAAAGGACAGAAAAATGATTTAAAACCCACTAAAATCCCCACAAACAGACTCGTTTATCAGCTGTAGATATTGGAGTTCAGAGCAATAGAGATATTATCATTCTGGTTTGGACACTGGACCACTTTCTACTTCACTTTCTCTTTACAGTTAAACTTATCCTCCATCGTGCTGTATAAGGAGCTTCATTTGGCTATTTTTAAATGTTCCAGGTGAGGATTCCTGGTGCCTGACCAAGAATACTGTGTTGTGTCAACAGGGTCATTATTATCAGCGTGAGAGCGCCATGCAGCCGATGGAGGTCCACTTTAATGGGATCATCTACTGAACTAGTTCAAACTGAGTTAAAAAACATTTGGGACTTTTAACTGAACTTGGACTTTAGACTAAAATCCTTTTGCCCTATATCTTAATTATTGTTATTTTAATAAAATTAATAACTGAATTTTACATTTTGTCACTACCAAAACAGTCATAACTCTACCCAAACTTTACCAAATGTTTCAGTAGTGACTGTTTCAGTAGTGTCTGTTTCAGTAGTGACTGTTCGGGTGACAATTTTAGCTCATTTTGAGCTCAAAAACGCAGCCAGTACAGACCAGCAAATGGGTTTTTAAACAAATCTGTTTTAAGAGTCTGTGTTTAGTTCTCAATTGAAATAAGTAAAACTAGTATTAACACAAAGCAGTTCACACAGCAGGTTGTTTACCTTTTAACCTCCGGGTTAACCTTTCCTTTAAAGTCAATAGGTCGATCCGCTGACCAGCCGCTCGCTGCAGACACACAGCCGGGTGACTTCGGCCTGTCCATCATTATGCTTAAGGAGAAAACATTGAGAATTCTTATGAGGAACCATACAGTGTTTCTTACAGTTTAAATGTGAAAAATCAAACGAATGCAGTTTTCTCTTTAAATACTTCTCCAGCGCTGCATCCTGACTGACAAAGCTAAACTCTACAATGAGCTGTTTGTGACTCGTATGGGGCAGAAACATTATTTACAGCTCTCCACAAACACACTCGTTTATCAGCTGTAGAACTTCAGTGGTGGAATTATTAATAATTATTAATAATAATTATTTCGTACTTCACTCAGACCGCTTGTGGGGTAGTTTGTGCGCCCCTGATCAAACTGCATTTTTTGTTGATTAAAAATGTGTAAATAAGTGAACACATCCTCTACAGAGACACACTACTGCACTTTTAATACACAATTACCATTTATTTACTGAATTTAACACATTAAAAAAGAACTCTATATATGAAATGTGGCTGTTGCAAAAGTTATGGCACATTTTATATTTTAGGTTGTATTTTTATATATAGAAACTGTGTATTAAAGTAAATAGAATATGTCATAATTGAGTGTGCGCTCTTTAGAGGATGTGTTAAATTTTTTTTCACTTAGAAAATCAACAAAAACATGGAATTTGACTGGAATGTTAAAATTGTTGCTGTACATTTGCAGTAGATCATGAGAACACACACAATTTCTATTTGACAGCTACCGTTAACGTAGCATATGGTCACTGTTGGAATAAAATCTGGTACAGTGCTGCTTGGAAGTTTGTGAGCCCTTTAACATTTTATGAATTACTACAGAAAAGTGATCTAAAATCTCATCAAATCTTCATTAAAATCATAACAATAGATAAAGAGAACCCAATAAAACAAATAACACAGAAGAATATATAGTTTTTCATTAATTTATTAAAAGTGATTCATTATTAAATGTCATTGTTGGCAAAAGTATGTGAATCAGGAACTGGTGTGACCCCCTTGAGCAGCAGTGACTTCAACCAAAAACTGTTGATCAGCCCTGAACATTGACTTCAAGGAATCTTGGCCCTTTTCTTCTTATATAACTGCTTCAGCTGTGTTATGTTGGTGGGCTTTCTTGAATGAAAGCCACACACAGATTCTTCCTTAACATTTCTATTGGATTATGGTCTGGTCTTTGACGCAGTCATTCCAAAATACAGCATTTCTTCTGCTTTAACCATTCTTTGTAGACTAACTGGTGTCTTTAGGTTTGTTGTCCTTCAGCATGACCACCTTCTGTTGAGGTTCAGTTCAAGGATGCCTTAACATTCTTCTGTAGAATTTCTTACAATCCAGAATTCATAGCTCTATTCAATGATGGCAAGCTGTTCTGCTAAACAGTGATACTGCCACCACCATGTTTCACAGTTGGGATGAGGTTCTAATGGTGGAATTCAGTGTTCGGTTTTCCAAACACAACATCTCTCATTTACGCTATAAAGACACATTTTTGTCATGCACAAAACATTATTTCAGTATTCTTTTGGATCATCCAGATGGTTTTTAGGAAGCAGAGATGTTTCTACTCAAACGTGTTGGCTTACTCCTTGCTGTCATTCCACATATACTATTCTTGTTCAGTGTTTGTCTGATGGTGTGCTAGTAAACACTGACATTAGACAGTGTTTGCAGGCCTGCAGATCCTTAGATAATGTCATAGAGTTCTTTTTGTTATCCCAGAATGTTTGACCACTCCAGTTAGGGTAACAGTGATGCTGAATCTCCTCCATTCATACTCTGTCTGACAGTGGAGGGGTGAAGTCTCCATTCTTCAGAAATAGTTTTGGTACATCTTCCAGCCTAATGATTTTCCAAGGTCCTCAGCATTTGCTAACAAATGTGTGCGGTAAAGACCAGACTTTAATGGTGAAGACTCAAGTTGATGTTTTTTAAATAGGGTAAGGTCAGCCACACTCACATCCTATTGACTGAACCTCCTGACCCTAATATTACCTACACCAAACTGATCATTCTGTAGGTTCACATACTTTTGCCAACCAAAATATATAATGTTGAATCACTTTCTTCGACAAATGAATGAAGAACTATAAATGTGTTTGTGTTATTTGTGGGTTCTCTTTATGTATTGTTGTGACTCAAATGAAGATCTGATCACATTTTAGGTCAAATTTGTGCCAAAATTCGCAAAACCCTAAAGGCTTCATAAAGTTTTAAGAAGCACTGTAACTCCAAAACTTCAGCTTTTAGTGGAGGATAATGGAACCAGATTTATTTCCAAGTAATTTTGAATAATTTTTGGTGGATAACTTTAAAGTATCATTTTCAAGGATACCCCATTCAACAATAACAATAAAAAACAAAAGATTACGTATTTAAAAAGCTCATTCTTCTTACTGATGGTGACCAGGCTAAACCAGTGAGGCTTATTGTTCAACTCACAAACTTTTCAGTTAAGAATCTTTCAGTAAGTGTTAAAATCACATGTACGAAAGAAAACAGTACAGTGCCGTACTTTCTTTACGTCTTTTTGGGGACCTTGAAATTGTCACCTCCTCGTGTGCAGCATCTCAAAATCTCCTTGGGTAACAGACTTTTATTTCGTTAGCCTCAAAGCTCCAGTGCATAAAGTAAAGAAACAAACTTCACACACCAAACATGTCTTGGCTTATTAATACATTTGGCCTAAGATGGGATTTTTCACCAAAACATTCTTTTAATCAGGATTATTAATGTGTAAAATGCACTAAGATATCTGAACACTGAAGTGCCTCACCTTACATCCATTTCTTCTTCATAGGAACTCATTTCTGGATGTCGTCACTGTATGGGGTGGATCAAAGCTCCGTCCTGTTTTTAGCTAATGAAACGTTTAGAACAGTGATCAATACAGACCAACAGATCTGATAATCACAGCTGATACTACAGTATAGAACTACAGGAGTCTGTAATGGAGAGTTAATCACTGTTTAACGTCGTGTTTCAGTCTCAGCACAGTAGCAGGTGCAGCTTCATACTGTAGACCATCCGGACTGAACAACATCTGATATAATTAATTGCAGATGTAGTAGATATCAGATAGATATAGATATCTAACACTCTTACCTTGTAATCATTGGTCCCGGTGTTTTCTTATAATCAATCCAAGTTGTTTTGATCATTACAGCCTTTCTTTAATCCTTCGTCTGAGACATCGTCGTCTGAGATGAGAGGAGGCGGAGTTTAGAGCTGCTCCTGTTTTAATGGAATGTAGATTTACCAGATCTGCTCAAAAGGTAAAGGAGGACGAGTTCTCAGAAAACTCTTTGTTTTCCTGTAACACAGCACTGTATGCAGGTTCTGTGATTGTAGAGCTGATAAAAGAATTAGCACAACAGTTAAACACGTATAAACCCACAGTCAACAGTCACACCGGCAGTTTTCCGTTCACCTCTTTCACTGTTTTGGAAAATTTGAACACATTAAAGTGCCCACTTTAACACTGAAGTTATGGGGATTTTTTTTATTAAGCCCAATAGGACAGCCAATCACAACAGAGCTCATTTACATATATCTGCCTTAAAGGTTCAGTAAATGGCTGTTTAATTTTAATGAATAAAGAGAGGTTGGAAAATGATAATGATAAAATAAATTATGACTGTTTTTGGTACATAAAGCCAGACAAATGTTACAAAGTGGAGCTCAGAGAGAAAAATAAGAGACAGGAAAAATGTAGGATCCTTTAAGCAAATACTAGATACACAAGTTACTAAAATACAGTATTAACACAATAATAATGATAATAATTAGACACATAAATTAGAATATGACAAAAGATGAAGACACTAATAATAATAATAATAATAATAACAATAATGATAATAATAATAATGTCAGAGCATGCGTAATGTCCACTGTAAGACTCTCTGCATGGTAAACATTTTTACTACATGTCAGCTTATAAACTGTTTACAACACAGTTAAACTGTTCATTCCATGTGATTTATTTATTTATCTTTGCATTTACATTTATTTGCAGCCTGTAGCCTAAATATCCGGCTTTTCTTTCAGGGTCTCCATGTTTGTTTATGTGTGCTGACCGCTGGACACTGAGAGAGGAAAACATGGGACGACCAAAAAGGTTAAAATGCTCATCAAAACCAGTTACCTTCTTTAAAGTGCACTCTTAAAAAGGTTCCTTGGTGAAGGGAATGGTCCTGTGTAAAACCACGAACACCTAAAGAACTATTTGTGTGCTTTTGGTGCTTATCTAGCACCAAAAAAGGTTCTTCTTTTAATTCCAAGCTTGACATCATAACAATAGCAGAACCCTTTTTGGTGCTAGATAGAACCATATACAACATATTTTCCATCAAGCCGAAGAACCATTTCACCATGCAGAGAACCATTTAAGCACGCAAATAGTTGTTTGAGTGTTCGTGGTTCCATATAGGACCATTCCCTTCACTAAGGAACCCCTGAAGACCCCTTAAATGTTAAAGATATAGAAAAGCCGATTTGACTGCACGTCTCCAGAGCTGTGCTCCTCTGTGTAAACAGGCTGGAATCTCTGAAACAGTGAGCGGAACCAGACGAGGAGAAAAGTGAAATCAAAGAATTTCACACTTTTTAATATGATGATTTTGAAATGATGAAATCTTCAAATTCTCCAGCCTGCTATGGTTGACCACCTCACACTAACAGGAGCTACTTCAGCGCCCACCGAACAAAATGTAGGTGTCAGGATATAATTTCATACATACATAACAGAGTGGACAATAATCTGTGGGACATAAGGAAAATCCTCACATCTGATTATGAAAAGATCTGATCTAGAAGCGACTAAATAAAAAAAACGTTCAAATAATAAGAGAGGAGTGAAATGTTTTTTACGATTATACCTAAAAAAACTGGTCAGTAAAATGAGTTGAAGGCACAACACTAAAGGCATGAACACCTTAAGGTGACAGAGAAAATGTTTAAGATTCATTTTTGAGGTACATTGCATTATGTTTTCCACTGAAAAGGTTTGTTTTATAATTTATATAGTTGTTAATTAACATGTTAAATAATGAACCCCATGATCCACTCTGTGGAAGCAAAAGGCACCAGACAGTAGTAGTGACCTATGTGGAGGACAAAGAGAACAGCATTTGTTTAATGTCGTCAGCGCAGTGTAGCGTATACCTGAGAGAAACTGTTCGGATGCTGGGAATGAGCAGAAACCTTCGCTTCTCCTCCTCTCCTACCCCTCTAAGAATGTGGAGGATGGAGGAGACGAAGGGAGCTGAAATTGGGTAAACAGCTGATTCCTTTCAACATCATTAAATTTGATGTTGACTATTGATAAAGTGAGCCAATTACAACGTTTACTTGAAAGCCCACCCTTACTGCCACTGTATATAATCACAGCTGCTACACAGAGCCAGCTGATTAACATGTGTTGTAGTGTTTTACTCTGTTTTTTTTTTTTTTATTCTATTTCATATTATTTTATCAACAAAACACAGAAAATATAGTCGGATTGTTCCATGTTTGTCCATCCTCTCTGGGCCTGCATGCAGTGATGTCACTCTAAGATCTGTTAAAGTCTTCCTATGCAGTCTACATTTGTGTATCCTCTGTTGGAAGCCGCTTTGGCGCGTGTTTGGACCAGCTTCTCTCGTCTCCATGGACAGCTGGTAAGAAGGCATTATGAAATTGGTTTCCAGGTCAAGGAGGACAGGAGGAGGATTGGTAGGAAAAGGCATTAACTGTCAGGGTTTTTGGATGCAGCAAAGGATGTTCTGTCCATCTCATGACAAACACACCCCCAATACACCTTCACTTCACCCCCAACTTATGTTGCGTTTGACCAAAGTCTTTGTAGGAAAGTCTGTGCACAGTTTATTTCCAGTCATACAAGACCAACCTCCTGTCTCTTTGAATGAAGAGAGACCTATAAACTGAAACTAAAAGCCCCATTAACGTTTCAAACCCAGACTTTTACCAGTAAAATCTGATGTAAACAGCATAAATAGTTTGTACTGTTTGGCTCAAATTACTAACAAAAACAGTCACCGTGTTTTGGCTACTGAGCAGTTGCATATCTCCACAACGAGATCAGGCCTTTCCTGCTTACGGATTTACCAGCAATCTGACTCCTTTTCTTTATTGAAGGCTGGGACTTTCCCTGTGAACAGAGGCCACGTTGAGCATTACAAACTTTGAAACGTCTCTAGCTCAATTTACCCAGATAGTAAGCCTATATATCGGTGGCTTGGTAAGGTCCACACCCCGCTGACCGTTTGCCACTGCTGGGACCCCCGGATCACCCAGATTACTGTCCTGCATACAAGGTCAAACTATTTTTTAATCTCCTCAAACAGATTTTAAATGCACAGAGACTTTTATTTTGGAAAATAAACTAGGACAAATATTGCAACAACTGAGAGAAAAAACATCATGACTAGGCCTGATATAAAATGGTTTAATAGAAAATGTTGTTGGTGACGCTGAGCTGGATTAAAATTATTAAGTAAACTAATTTACAAAGTATAACTAAAGAAAGGAAGGAAGGAAAAATCAGTAAATTGGACTGTGAGTGGAAAATGAGTGATGATAACTGGGATTATGTCTAATACTCTGCTTAACCACCAGTTGATCTCCTGGAATACACTGAGCAAAACGCCCGTGGACCCCCAGCTTTGCCAGCAGGGGGCCAACAGTGGACCACTATCCTCTTTCTATCAGGGTAGTTTGGAAGTCAAAGCTGACAACTGCATCAATTTGAGCTACAAATTAGCTCCATGAAAGCAAGTAACACTGATGTTAGCAACAAGCTAAGCAGCTAATGTTTAACTTTAACATTAATATGTTTACTTTCCCAAAACTGAACTTCATGGTCAATGTTATAAATTTACCACCTACTTTGTGTGACGACTGATTTAAAGCTAATATATTTAAATGTAGTTCGTTATTATTGTTGATGCTGTGAGCAGCCATGTTGATTTGACAACATACACCGAGCTCAAAACACCATTCCAACTTTCCGAGTTGGAATTCCCAGCTGAGGGGGTGTTTTATTTGTTTTTTCCTAGTTAAAGGTGAGAAATTCTGAGTTGCCAGCTGCAGTCAAACACAGCATTAGTCCTCCTGCTGAAAAAGGACATTTTAATAGGAACTAGCTTAAAGTTTTCCAACAGAGAGCACCAGTTTCCTGTAGAGCTCCTTTAGATCCCGTTAGGAAACCATCAAATGCATTTGGAATCAGCCACTGGTCCCCTGTTAAACCATTAGGATCCTTTACACTGTGATACATTACAAAACCATCAGAAACCAACAGAAACGCTTAATGCTTTCTGTGGGTTTTTCAGCAGGGCTTGAAAAGGCTAACAGAGCTGGCAGAGCGCAGTGATGCAGCTAGCGCCACAAAAACTTCATAACAGGAAAAGAAATAAAACAAGGGAATATTGAATGACATACAAAATAAACAGTTTATTGATGAACCAACATCATAAATGGCATGAAATCTCAGATACCTGTAGCTAACAGTGCTAGTATGGTAGCTAGCTCAGGCTAACTCAAGCTAACATTTGGCTAAAATAAGCTGAAGCCAATAAGACTGTCAGAATTGAACTTTCACAGATAGTTTTATGATTTTGCCAGATGGATAAATATGTTTATACATGAATCACCTTCAAAGACTTGAGGTAATGTTAGGCAGCTGCAGATAATGATGATTGCAAGGAAAGGTGGACCCTAGCTAGCCATCTCTAGCTGACTCCAGTTGGTTATAATAAGTTGTAGCAGTTGAGACTAAAGGCCTCAGCAGACTTCTTGCGAAACGAAATTCTCGAGGGTTGTGTGAAGCCGAAAGCGCCTTTGCGAGATTACAAGCTCGCATACTCTCTGCGGTTTGGTGTTGCCTGTTGCAGATGCTCTGTGTCGCTATGACGTTTTATGATAAGTTCCATGGCTGCAGGAAAACGATTCTTTCACTGTTCTAACTATGGCGACGTTTGAGTTCAGAATACCGCTACCATTTAAGGTGGAACGGGAAAATTTGAACAAGAAGCTGGTGAACAGAAAGCCGACTTCAGCCTCGTCCTCATATGAACATAAACATAAAATAACCTGTATATTTTGTGCTCAGTACTAGTCAGTATTACCAAATAATAATAGACTGAACATCTTACATTTAGGAGTATTAAGTGAAGTATTAGTGTGTCTGCCAAAGCCGAAGCTTCTCAAAGTCGTCCATCTTTGTTTAATGGCACGCCTCTTTTTTACCGACCAATCAGAGGCTTCGCCGTGTCGTGCACATGGAAGCCTCCATGCGACGTCTGCAGTTGTTCACTTTCTTCGCAATCACATCATATTGTTCACTGAAGCCAGGAGAAAGTCGTCTCTGTAGTATTCTGAGGCCTTAATCCAGAGACCTTATTCACATACAAGTTTTGCTTATAACAACATAACATTTGCTCATAACAGCTGAGTAAATATTTTGGTTTTGCAGGTCGTAAAGATTGAACTGTCCCAAAGTAAGTAATAGCTATCCACACCGTGATCTCCAGCTAGTCAATAATAACTGTTTCAGCCCATCTTAATCTTCAGGTCCACTGATTTCTCCAAGGTATTGAATACAGGATAGATCTTCTCTCTGTCTGCAAAGTCCATCTGTCTGAATGTGTAAATGTGAGCTTTAGTCTCAGCATTATAAAAAGCGACCCACTTCTCATCCACATCGACACAGACCCCCAACACCCGGGGCACAGTGTCGATCGGCAGGCGCCTGCTGGGCTCCTCCAGAGCTGTGAAGGACTGTCTGAAGTGATAGAGACACCAGTAACCACGAGCAGGAGAGAAGCTGAACCTCCCTTTCCTCTGAGCCGACTCTCTGGTGACCCCAGTAGTGAACTCTCTGTTGACCTCCACCTCCCAGTAGTGCCGTCCCGAGCTGAAGCCTTCTGTGGTGAGGACGCACTCAGACTTGTCAAATCTCGGCATGCTGTAATCGACGGTTTTCTCTTTCCCTAGTCGCACTCGTTTACCATCATTGGACAACACAAGCGCACAGTGAGCTGTATCAGGATCCAACACCAAATCAGCTGAGAAGAGAAAAAAATAGAATAAACAGAAAGTGGCTTATAGCATTCATCATATGTGGTGATACATGAATTCATTAAGGATTAGATGACTATTACTCTTTAATATTATAATAAAAACCAATGAAAAGTATTTTGTTAGTAGTTTATGAGAGGCTAGCAGCAGATGCTGCAGTTTACAGTGATTTAACATCTGATAAACTGGACAAAAACAGTCAATAGTGCATTTAAAAATGAATAATCTATGAGAACATGATGGATGGAGAACATAATAAATTGGGCTAATTGTGCTCACAACATGCAGCTGGTCAGTGTGTTTAAATACTGAAAATATCCACAATACTAGTGACAAACTGTGAAGTAATTTACCATGACAGCGATAAATATCACCATATTGTCCAGCCACAGTGTGCAAGCTGTTTTAGTCTGCTCGCTAAGCTAACGTTAGCCTCTTGTGCTAATGAGGACAGTGTAGTGGAGCAAGAGAAGCTTAGCTAACAGCTCATCACACAAAATAAAAGATTCACCCAAACAGAATTGAGTCTCCGTCTTCATCAAGTTGTGCCAATGAACTGTCAGTGAGCCGGAATTGAACCTGTGTTTTGGTGTGTGAAGCTGCTAGTTGCTAAGCTAATGGTAGCCTCTTGTGCTAACGAGGATAGTATAGTGAAGCAAGAGTAGCTTAAATATCGGCTCCACACGCAAAAACGCAGGTTTGCTTCCTCAGACTTGAGTCTTTATCCACTAAACTTGCATCAGTAGAGCTTCAGTGAGCCGCAAAACAACCTGAGCTGTGGTTTGTGAAGCTGTAGCACGCTAAGCTAATGCTAACGGCTACAAGAACAGCTCTACACCATATTTGACAGTTTATTAGAAAGATGAGGAACATGAATTTGACATCATGGTGATTTTAAATATGAACATCATCTATTTACACTGGCTACAGCTTATAGCACAGTCAAAACATTTCAAACAAGTAAGCTACGTTAGCGCCGACATGTTCTTTAGCTATAATGATGCTGTGTTCACGTTTTTGTTGAAGAAACACAACGTTATTTCCTGTAGCTACGTCGTAATTCTCTCATTAGCCTATTTTATTATATCGAACCATTAGAGGTTCAAGATTAGTGGTGACGTACAGAACTAAGCTGCGATGTAGCGCCACGCAAAATGGTTTTAAATTTTATTAAAAATATACAGTAATTAATTTGGCAAATAATCAGCCTTTGTGGTCTTGATAAGCCAACCTGAGGAAATCACAGAAACCTGAGGAAAGCCACAAAATTTGCCCTAATCAACACCTGCCCACGGCTCCAACTTTATTAGCTGACTAGTTGTTTGTTTCGCTTCTAGAACCTTTGACGGTCCGTGAGGCACAGCCTCATCTCTTCAACCTATGTTAGATGAATCATTTCTCCTGTTGCCTCACTCACCTGCTGCAGGTGTCTTCCCTTTGCAGATGAAGTCGGGAAGCCTCAGTTCACAGATCGTCTGCCTCAGTTCACAGATCATCTGCTTCAGTGTAGCGACCTCTTTCCTCAGATCCATCTTCTCTGACCGTTCCTCCCTGATTATTTTCTTCAGCTGAGCGTTCTCCTGAAGTATGTTGAGGTTCTTCGTGACCTCCACCAGTAGGTGTCTCTGCAGTGCTTCCACTGTGTAGTGATCTCTGACGTGTGCCTCGCAGAAGGAGGCAAGGCAGGTCATACAGGACTTGTACGCTCTCAACTTCCTTCCTTCACACAGATCACAGGCCACGTCTCCAGCCTCGGCGTAGCGAGAGGTCAGCCTGTGTTCTTGAGGGTCTTCATGTGACCGGTCAGTCTTCATAGATATACCGCTGTCTGCAGTTGATGTTATTCCAGACAGCAGACTAAAACACAAAAGGCATTTTTGACGCTATATTAAACTTATACCTCGTCATAATTTTATTTTTCACTCTTTGTTATGAAGCATGGTTATATAACCTTAAACGTTTCACATGGTTCTTCAAGTGGTGGGTTAGTAGCTATAGAAACTCTATATGGACAAAAGTATTGGGACACCTAAACATTACACCTTCAGGAGCTTTTATGACACCTCATGAAGCCTTGAAGGCCATGAAAACAACAGCTTGTTCCACCTTCACTATAAGAGTCCTAGAAATAAACCAAGAAAATAAATCTGAACCCAAATAACATTTACCACATTTTCTGAACTCGTTACAGTGTATCGTGATTTTCTAAGTGAACATAAGTTTACGTGTCCTCTATTTGTACACTACATATATATATGTGTGTGTGTGTGTGTGTGTGTGTGTGTGTGTGTGTGTGTACTGCAAATTTCACACATCACATTTTATGTTCTAGATTTTGTCCCAATATGTCAAATTCATTGATTTAGTAACTGTGGAGCATCTATAGGGGACTATTCAAATAAAATGTGACCGGAAATTCCACCAGATTTGTGCGGGAGATTGTGTGTGTGTGTGTGTGTGTGTGTGTGTGTGTGTGTGTGTGTGTGTTTTAATTCAATTCAAATGTATTTATGTAGCACTCATTACAGTTTGCACTGTCACAAAGCAGCTTTACAGAAGGGTCTAAGTAAAACTGCCTAACAGCATGAACAGCCAATGAGAGGAACCAAGAGAACTCAGAAGGTGAACCCATCCTCCTCTGGTTGACACTGGATAGCAAATCATTAATAAAACAATAGAAATGAGAATGAATCAAGTGAAAACTGTACGAAGTCTGTCGGATGATCTCTAAAAAGAGTTCAAAAGTGGGAGTTTAGTGCTCTTCATTGCAAATCTGGTGACGTTTAATGGATACGTAGATATGATGTTTATGGATAAACATCTAAAATCTTAAACAACCTGTGGCTGCATTTTTCAAAACATACAATCAGCACATAAAACAAATTGATGGACCTTTTTCTGTTATTGTGTTCTTGTGTTGATACTTTCTGTTTTGTTTTGTCACAAACGTGTATAAATGGGATTAAACCTTTAGATATGTGCGCTCAGCTTATTTAGTTTTTGGCGGCAGGAATGCCCCACACTGTTTCTGGTTCTAGACAGAGATCTCTTAACTCTCAAAACGATGAAAATCATTTTGTTTTAACAAATGGTCAGTTGTACCTGTCATTGTCCAGGGCTGCCACTCTTTTAAAGTCAACTCCATGCTCCTTGGACCAGCTGCTCAAAGCAGACCTAGAGCTGGGTGACCCTGGCCTGTCCACCTTTTTGCTTTAAGAGAAAAGGAAAGCAACAAACAAAATGTCCGGTTTGTCTATTAAAATCACTGCTAATTCAGACTGTGCATGTTCTGCATTATAGCAACTGCTATTTTACGTATGAGTTAACTTTAATTTTGTTTGTTTATTGTAATTTATTTATCCAGTCAGGGACCACAAACAAAATACATTCATCTAAAAAAGAAGAGATGCTTAGCAAATAAGCTAATTCCCATCTCCAGTTCCAGGGCAGATAAACATATGACTAATACTAAAAACATTATAATACTGAAAACACAATATGCCATACAGAAAATTACATAATTATGCACACCTGACCTCGCTGCTCATAGTTACAGATAGAGATCTCTCAGATTATTTAAATCATTACATTTTTGGTTTTTTAAAAATGATGTATTCTACCTTTTCGTGTCCAGAGGTTCAGTTCCATTAAGTGCGATGGGCTGCTCCATTGACCAGTCACTTGCTAGAGACCTACAGCTGGGTGACCCTGGCCTGGCCATCATTTTGCTTTAAGAGAAAATGAAAGCACCAAACAAAATGTCTCTGTTTTTTATTACATGCACACATGACCTCACTGATCATAGCTCTAGATCAGGGAGAGCCGGATTCCTGCACAGTTTGGAGGTTTTCCTGCTTAACCACACCTGATTCAAACTGTGCTGGATGCCAGCCCTCAGTTCCTCACCCCTGTTCTAGATAGAGATCTCTCAAATGATTTAAATCACTGCATGATAGATGATCCATTCTACCTTTTCTGGTCCAGAGGATCCAGTCCAAGTGCAATAGGTTGCTCCATAGACCAGTCACTCGCTTCAGACCTACAGCTGGGTGACCCTGGTCTGGCCACCGTTTTGCTTCAAAAGAAAATAGTGACCTCTTAAGTAAAATGTAGGAAACATTAATTCATAAATATCTATTGCTTCAATTTTTTGAATCCATCAGTGAGACTTACAAGATATTCTACTCTCTAACCAGCTCCACTCTGCCTGCACCTGTTTTACCTGGGTTTTTTTACTATTATTTATTTTCATTATTTTATTATTTATTTATTTGTTTGTTTATTATTAATCACATTCTTATTCTTATTTTAATTCAGATATTTTTATTATTATTTTAGTCATTTTAATTAATTTTTAGTTTAATTTTTGATCTTATCCTCTTTTTTTAATGATATTTTACTAACTTTTACATTTTTTAATTATTATTTTATATTTTCTACTCTATTTTTATGTATTTTAATTATTAATGTTTCTTTTTTTTACTTACCTGATTTGAGTCATTTTCTTTAATTAAATTTACTTTTATTATTTGATGTGTTCTCACACATCAATCCCTTTTCCTGTTTTAACTCAGCAACATTGTAAATGAGGGTCACCCTCAATGTTCTCCGAGGTTAAATAAAGAAAATATACATGTAAATGTAAATTTGCTCTCATTTTGTAGCCGTTCAAAAAAACAGGACTTCTTCCAAGAAATGTTTTCCACCAATAAAATCAAAGCAGATACTAATGAGAGAATTTAGGTTTTTTGTGGTTTCAGTAAAATGCCCTTTTTGTGTTTGTGCAAATTGGATCCAAACCACATTTGGAGGTGGTCTGAAATGCGACTCCAGTCAGATTTTTACATAAGTGTCTCAGTTTGGAAGGCGAGATGAGGCTCCTCCATCTCTCCTGCATCCACGTTTGAAATCTGCATAGCTACGTAGTTACTGACGCCTATGTCGTTACCACGGCAGCCTACGTAGACTGCTGAAATCTGATCTGACCACTTGCTATCAGCGTGGCCAGTGGCCTCAAAAGACCTGTTTTTTTTCTAAACAAATCCGATTTGCCTGCAGTCTGAACGCAGCCTTGGACTCCTGACTATGGGTGGCTGAGCATCTCTGATCTCTCTGATTTCACTCTAAAACAATCTGGAGTGAAATGAAGTGCAGAGCTAAATATGTATTCAATTTTGTCCCGCATTTGTATTTAAAGGCTGCTGCTTTAGCTGAATGTATAGAATGTATAGATAGCCTGTTCAGAGCGGAGTGCAGGGTGGGCTCAGTGATGGGGAACAGAGAAAGGATGCTTCTGTATGTTCTACATGTTAAATAGTGAACCAGTGCCCAGTTGAAACAGCTGTTATAAGTATAATTTAACTTTATGTAAACAACCTCACTGTTCACTTAGGATATGGTTAATTTAAACACATCAAAAATCATCAGAAAAGTGCTGTAATAAAATACAAACCAATTCACAATAACAGATTTAAACGTTTTCACTTTTACCTTTTAATGTCCAGCAATTTCGCTGTTTTAAAGTCAATGGGTTGCTCTGCTGACCAGCCACTCGCCGCAGATTTACAGCCGGGTGACTCTGGTCTGCTGATCATGGTGCTTTAGGAGAAATATTTAAGAGTTATTATGTGGAAACTTTCAATATTCCCTGCATTTTAATCAGGCGCTGAATTTACCAAGATAAGTATATCTGAACACTGAAGTGTCTCACCTTACGTCCATTTCCTCTCCAGGGAAACTCATTTCTGGATGTCGTCACTGTACGGAGTGGATCATAGCTCCGTCCTGTTTTTATCTAATGAGGATTTTAGATCAATAATCAATACAGAACAGCAGATCTGATTCATAATCACAGCTGATACTACAGTACAGAACTACAGGAGTCTGTAATGGAGAGTTAATCACTGTTTAACGTCGTGTTTCAGTCTCAGCACAGCAGCAGGTGCAGCTTCATACTGTAGACCATCCAGACTGAACAACATCTGATATTAAACACTACAGATAGAATAAATATCAGATCTGATAGTCTTACCGTGTGTCCATTTGTTCCAGTGAGTTCTTATCATCCAAGTTTGATTCCTCGTTTTTCTTTAATCCTTCCTCAGCGGCGTTTCTCGTCTGAGCTGTGAGGAGGTGGAGCTCAGAGCTCAGAACCGTTCCTGTTTTAATGGAATGTGGATTTTCAGGATCTGCTCAGAAGACAAAGGAGGACAAGTTCTAAAAAAAGATGCATGTTTACAGGTGAAACAGTGAATTCAGGTTCTCTGATCAGGACGTTTTTAGCTGAGGAGTCTGGACTACATTTGGATTCCTCACAAACCCAGTGGTCTGCAGTTTGCATTGCTTATTACAGATCTGGCCTCTGTACATGCATCACTTGGCTTGACCTAGAGGCAGGTAGCTGGTTGTGATTGGTCTCATTGCAAAATGCATTATGATATTGTGTGTAAATTGTAACAAAAAGCACATTTGACACAATAAAACACATTTTTCTTAGTCTACTAATGATGCATAATGGTAAGTTACTCATCATATAGCACTGAAATTTCTTCTTGTGTGTGTGAAGCTCACTCCCAACAACTTATTTCACTGCAAACGAAAATGATGAAAGTGGCTTTTATTACATTTTGGACCCAAACCCTCCAAATATTGCAGTTTAGACCCATCAGGCATAACATTCTGACCACCTCCTTGTTTCTGCGCTCATTGTCCATTTTATCAGCTCCGCTTACTATATAGGTGCACTTTGTAGTTCTACAGTTACAGACTGTAGTCCATCTGTTTCTCTGATACTTTATTTTGTGTTGTGCTGGTCTGAGTGGATCAGACACAGCAGTGCTGCTGGAGTTTTTAAACACCTCATTGTCACTGCTGGACTGAGAATAGTCCACCAACCAAAAATATCCAGCCAACAGCATCCTGTGGGCAGCGTCCTGTGACCACTGATGAAGGACTAGAGGATGACCAACACAAACTGTGCAGCAGCAGATGAGCTATCGTCTCTGACTTTACATCTACAAGGTGGACTGACAAGGTAGGAGTGTCTAATAGAGTGGACAGTGAGTGGACACAGTGTTTAAAAATTCCAGCAGCTCTGCTGTGTCTGATCCACTCATACCAGCACAACACACACTAACACACCACCACCACGTCAGTGTTACTGCAGTGCTGAGAATGATCCACCACCCAAATAGTACCTGCTCTGTGAGGGTCCATGGGGGTCCTGACCACTGAAGAACAGGGTAAAAGGGGGCTAACAAAGTATCAGAGAAACAGATGGACTACAGTCTGTAACTGTAGAACTACAAAGCGACCTATATAGTAAGTGGAGCTGATAAAATGGACAATGAGCATAGAAACAAGGAGGTGGTCAGAATGTTATGCCTGATCGGTATGTTAGTTAGCAGCACATTTACACGTGTTTTTGAACACAAATGTAACAGACATTAAATATGGCCTAATTGTACATGTGCAAATTTTGATTCACAATTACTGTTAATGAAATGTGTGCATTGTTATTTCATTACTTAATTTGTGGTGAACATTTTCCTACTCGACTTGTTCATGAATGTTCATGTGGCGCCCCCTGGTGGAATATCGACCTGAGAACTCGGACATTCACCTGAAAACACGTTACAATTCTTTAAAAAGACCAGGGAGAAGATCCTCACAGCACTTACTGCTACAATGCTCCAATCTGTTGTCAAATTTGTTACTACAAAAGATAATACAAGCAAGAACAGATAATTAGATATGACAGACCTTATTTTCTTATTTATAAAATATTTACTCATAATAAGACACAGGTCAAAGTTGATATGTATTCTATGAAATTGATCTGTTCATGAAACATCCGCCAGTCACAAACGAGGCCTTACCAGAACTTGAATGGAGCATCTTGCGACTTTTGCTGTTTCTGTTGAGATGACCAGTACTAATCAGCATTTGGGCAAAACGGCCTGGGTTACTTCACAACTGTTGGGAATGTTATACTGTGCTACTGTCAATAGATTAAAGTAAATGTGGGCTACATCACTGCATATGGTTCAGCATTTTAAGAAAACATGGCTCCCTCATATCTATCCCATTTTGGGGGGCAGCTTGGAGAAAGAAAATGTGTTATACTCTGACATCAGACATTATAAGGATCTTTAGGAGTTAGCGCCTTTCATTTAATTGTCCAGTTTAGCTTCAGTGACCTCCTCTAAAAAGGGAGGGACAGAAAGGTTGAGATTATACAGGGATGGGGGCATAGCTAAGTAGCGCGCTACTTTTTGTAGCTCACTACAAATGTTTGTAGCTAATAGCTGGAGCTGCTACAGTTTTATGAAATGTAAGTAAAAAAGCTGTAGCTCCTACACATTTTTGTTTAGCTATAGTGATAATTTTCACCACAATTTCACCACAGGCCTGAGGCAATCCTATCTAATTCTAAATCTAATTCTGCTGTGGAGCCGCAACAGGGCAGTAGAAGAGCCGCATGTTGCTTTAGCTAAAGCGGAAAAAACATTTTCGTAATAGACTGTTACTCACAGTACTGCGCAGAGCCAGCATCACTGATGAGGATTATGAGGCTAACGTGTCACTGAAGTTTAAAGGACTCTGAATGTCCATATATCTTGCTGAAATGTTTAAATTGGAGCAGTTTTATTTCGACAGTTGACAGTGCTCTGCACTAAATTGTGTGGTTTTTATGTGGTTATTTTTGTTAATTTTTGTTAGGAAAAGCCTGGAATGATTGGCTTTGCCTTTACTTTGTCTACATGTTTGTTGAATATCACACCTTTGGTTGTGTAAGTTTGATTGTTGGTTACACTAAAACTTTTTGGTGATCTTTTTGTGTATTTGCAGCTTTTCAGTGGCACATTAAATGCAGTGTCTTGTTCACACTATCAGTTGGGCTTATTGTGTGTGGAGATAAACAAACATTCTGACAAGTAGCTAAAAAGTCGTGCACTACTTTTGAAAAAGTAGGTAAAAAGTAGTGCACTACTTTTGAAAAAGTAGGTAAAAAGTAGTGCACTACTTTTCAAAATGTAGCTAAAAAGTAGCTAGCTACAAATTTTTCAGTAGCTATCCCAACCCTGAGATTATATTAAGTAATACCAATGTTGCAGTACTGTACTATTTTTCGAACTCCAGTTGTTTCACTTTGTAAAGACTTTATGTTGTCTGATCTCAGTTTTGTAAAGCTGTGCTTTATTTTCAGAGACTTCCAAACCATCACTGCTTTGCAACCGTTGCTATCCACCATTGCCTCAAAACAGCTTATTATTACTGTGCCAGTGTGTGAATTTGAAGCTCCTGCTGTTGAAAGATGTACGCGGAGCTGTCAAAGTAAGACACCATCCCTGACAGAGTAAAGTATGTCGCTTTCTACCCCTCTTAAGCTTAAAACATATTAAAAAAAACATTGTCAGTGTTGTTCTGTGATTTTGGTACTTATAATGCCTTTTAACTACAAAAGTCTCAAAATGTTAAATCAAATCTACTTCAGTGCATCAAGTCATCAAAGGTAAGACGTAAATGATTCAAGATATTTAGGTTTTTGAGTTTGCTGTGTTGTTGTTACTTGTTGTTGCCTTAAGTCATCTTCATTTGGCAGAGGTCCTGTCCTGTGGGCAGTGTCCTGTGACCACTGATGAAGGACTAGAGGATTGCCAACACAAACTGTGCAGCAGCAGATGAGCTATCGTCTCTGACTTCACATCTATAAGGTGGGCTGACAAGGTAGGAGTGTCTAATAGAGTGGACAGTGAGTGGACACAGTGTTTAAAAACTCCAGCAGCACTGCTGTGTCTGATCCACTCAGACCAGCACAACACACACTAACACACCACCACCACATCAGTGTTACTGCAGTGCTGAGAATGATCCACCACCCAAATAGTACCTGCTCTGTGAGGGTCCATGGGGGTCCTGACCACTGAAGAACAGGGTAAAAGGGGGCTAACAAAGTATCAGAGAAACAGATGGACTACAGTCTGTAACTGTAGAACTACAAAGTGCACCTATATAGTAAGTGGATCTGATAAACTGGACAATGAGCGTAGAAACAAGGAGGTGGTCAGAATGTTATGCCTGATCTGTGTATATGTAAATACTATATGTACATCACTTTTATATTGCAAAATAACTTGTGATTTAGATTATTTTTTGCCATTAAGTTGTTCTTTAGAATGTGTGATCATTTCATGATAAATGGAGCAACAGAAATGATCTAAATAATCAATAATATACAATAAAAGCTCATTTCATCCATGTACATTTAAGTTAAGAAAACCTTTTAGGCTTATTAATGGTGCTAACATCCAAGCCAGAGGTCACCAGCAAGCAAGCCGATATGACTATATGGCTGTAGGTTTTTACTGAAATGAAAATCTGCAGCCACACCAGCCCTTTGTGGATAAAACAGTGACGCTGGTCTAAGCATTGACCTTATCTTCAGGATTGCATGAGTTCAATTGCCAGTAATGTAACAGACATCTGTGGTAAAAAAGTACAAACAAATGAGATATTATAAACAATGTCACACTGTTTTTTTTTGTAACAGTCACTTTTTCTGAACAGTGCTGGTGAAAAGCATGGGGTTTTAGTACAGTCTCTTCAGTGGAAAACACCACCAGTCAACCAGCAGTAAAGTAGAATTCACAATTAGTCACTTGGTTACCTCACATGATCATAAAGTGTTTGCAAGGATGTGCACCAAAGTCTACGGGTCAAGTCCAAGTCAGGTGGTGCTTAACCTGTATAGATGAAAGACTCCTAAATGGGGCTATTCGATTATAGTATTCGTTTTCATCTTCACTATCACATTATTGAACGTTGAATAGTCCTCATCTTCATCGTTCCCGCGCTCCTGTACGAGGTTCATGGTCCTAATGGGAGATTCAGCAATCACATAGTCATCTGTGTATGCACTATACGGGTAGTCATGCCCACTTGGGTCATTCAAAGTGCCCACTACCTGCCAAGCAGTACCTTTGACCTCCTCTGGATCACTGTAGTGTGATGTGGGTGCACTAGGTGTAATGGCACAATCTTCATGGTGTGCAGCTGGATGTCTTTGGGGGTGATGTGAGAATGTGGATGTGATGGCAGATTCATCTATGCTGTCATACATGTGTTTGTGCTCTCTTGGCTGTCTCCGCTGTCCTTGTGTCTTCACTACTTTGTTGATGGCAGACTCCACATTCTGGAAGATGGTGTTGCCTTGGTTAGTGTCAAACTCAAAGACTCCCTGCCCAGAGTCGCACCTTCTCCCAGCCTCAAAAGAAAACACTGTCTGTTTTAACAAGGACAAAAATATAGAAGATTGGCAGCTTATTGAACTGTTTAAAGGAATAACTGTAGAAAATGTTGCAAAAAATGCAGAAAAAATGCACCAAAGTTGAACAAGTTTTCCCTTAACCCCACTATTACCCCAGGATGTCATCAACCAAGCGAGACATGTTTAGTGTCTGAAGTACATCTTTAGTATCTTTACACTGGAGACACAAGGTTAATGTAGCTAGTGATGGAAGGTTATACTCAGCACCTGCCTCAAAGCGTGTGGAGTTAATCTAATAGTGTTCAGTATCTCTAACAGACTTGAGTATGTGGTTTCTGACCCTGTAGGACTCTGTTATATATAAAAATAACAAATGTACAAATTATTTTCAGGCTTCTAAATGGCTGCAACCACTCTTTTTAGCCATGCACTATACTTTGTCCATTTTCATAGGCATCAATAGACCTCTGAAGTCCTGCTGTATTCAGCATCATGCCCATATTAGCAAAAGGGTGTCTAAGCTTCTTCCTCTATGGGAAAACGAACGGCTCTATTGTATTCTGTGGTAAACAAAAGTGTTCCAGTATATTTTTCTTCTTTCTTGTGTACAAATTTTCCCTGAATGTCACTGGATTCTCTGAGTTACTCAAATTCTAGGCTACTTTGATGTTTGTTGGTTTGCACAAGGTACTTTGGTGATGTTGAAATCAGTTCAACGTGCAAAAATTCAAGCGTTAGCTTGCATGTAGTATTACTCATAATTTATTTTTTTACTGACCTCATAATTTAGAGGATCCTAGGGAAAAAATGTATGTACAGCAAAATTGACAAGGTTTGGAACATTTTTGTGTGCAGCACAGTGCGATAAGGTGTCATTCTTGAGAGCATGTAAATTTCTCCCATAGAGGAAAAAAGTTTAGACATGGGGTTCCTTATTTGGCCATACGGCTAACTGGACGAGGTCTAAAATTCTATTATATGTTGGGTATGTTAGCCTTCGCTGCAAAAAATTAATGACAAAAAAGAATAAAAGTAAACCAAACCAGGAAAAAAGGTGCTTGAATGATCTCTTCTGAAGCAGAGGAGTCGTACCTTGTCCCGCCCGTACCTCCTGAGGAAGCGATATGGCCAGCTATAGAGCACTTCTCCTGTCTTTGGCTCTTTCAGAAGGAGGCTGTCAAAGTCGGTCTGTAACAGGTAATGTCCTTGTAGGCCACACCTCTTCGCAGCATCTGTATACCGTACTGACACCTTAAAGTCCTTCATCGTTGAAGCCACTATTAGAGAAAGGGTTCTTTTAATCTCAAATAAAGAGAATAAACAGTATTTTAGCTTTGTTAGTGTCTTTTTAGTTAACCTTTAAATGGTCACTAGCAGCCCATGATCTTGCTTCAAAGTGATATCTTGGAAAGTCATATTATAATTATATGTAATAGTTCTGATTTCATCTTTAATTTCAAGTTCAACCACAAACAATCAAAACAAAACCACAACCAAAGCTGGTCACTTTTCCGTGACTTCATCCTAGACTAGCTCTGCTGCTGCTCGTCCCTCTGTCTCTCTCTGTTCCCTCTCCGCCCTTTTTAAAAGGCGCTCACGACACCTGAGACCAAGACATCTGAGCCGAGAGGGAACGAGAGCTCGTTGCTCCGCCTCCTTGTTACCACCCCCGCCCCGCTCCGCACTAACAAAGCTGTTAACCCCTTAAAATCTAGGGCTTATTGTTCATTAACTACAGTGCAAACTGGCTGAGTTATTCGTAGGTCATAAAAGTGTATAATTACCAATAAATGTCAGGCTGTTAATAACAGGGCTGTGTACAAACTTGGTGCTAGAAAAAATATTTTAAAGGAAGATTGTAGCACTGATATAAAACATCCATATTAATACTTCAAAACAGTGTCCATCTCAATGTGCAGTGCCAGCGTTGTCACAGTTTTAAAGCATGTACAGAATGTAAACATTTTAAATTTGAATGTCCTGAATTGTAATTTTACATTTTGTGTAATATACAAATAAATCATTTTCTCCACAACAGTTCAGATTTCCCTTAGCTGAGTACAGCTGGGTCTTATGACTAGCCTACAGTTTTTTAAGTGCATGATCAGTTCCTTTCAAGGAGAACTCCATCGATTTTTCAAAATTCCCCCAGAATTAACTGGCTAAGATGTAAACAGAGCGGTTCAGAGTGGTTCAGAGTGGTTTTGTGTGAAACGCTCCGTTCTAGATAAACTTACCGAGTCAGAACTGTTCACAGTGGAGGTGATAGGAACCAGACGTCCACCTCTAAAAGCTCCCTCACAGAAAGTTCCTACATGAAATGGTTATGAATTCACTGCCTGATGACTGAGACACTGTTTATGATAGTTTTGTGATGGAGTTTTGGTCCAAAACTTATTTTAATCAATTGACTTTAATCCAGTCATGGTGGAGGGATACATGAGGAGTGTTTAAGGCAAAATATTCCCAAAGAAAGTAAGTCCACAGCTAAAAACAGTCACAAGTCCTCTGAAATAGCAAAGTCTGGCTCACATTTACAGTGACTGTATAGGGTAAAAAGAAATGTACACAGTTTTACCCAAAATGAACAAAATGTCTGAAATTTGCTTCTTTAGTTTTAGCTACAAGCCTAATGTTGCTAACAAGCAATGCAAGCTAATATTCTAATTAAAAAATGTCTGCATAATTCCATCATTAAGTGGTTTAGTGTGAAATGTTCCTTTCAGGAGAAACTTACGAACTTAGATGTCTTTACAGTGGTGGTGATAGGAACCGGGGTCGCCATGACTACAACACAAATATAGACATTTTATTAACTATTCAAACCAACCAGTGAACCTACACGAGTCTTCTGAGCTTGTATTTAAGTTGATAATAGTGTTGATGATGGTGAAATTTTGGTAAAAAGTTTTTACAATCCCTGAATGTACCCCTCCTCATCCCTAAACTATCATAAAAGAATGTCTTAGTCATCGTGCAATGGATTTATTACCATTTATCCATCAGTTTTCTGTGAGGGAGCTTTTAGAGGTGGACGTCTGGTTCCTATCACCACCACTGTGAACAGTTCTGACTCTGTACGTTTCTCTAGAGCAGAGCGTTTCACACCAAACCACTCTGAACCACTCTGAACGACTCTGTTTACATATTAATGATTTGATTATGCATAATTTTTGAAAAATCAGTGGAATTCCCCTTTAATTTGTAATTGATGAGGTCCCAGAACACTGAGTAGGGAAGGATCCCAAAAAAAGTTGCTGCAGACACACAGCTCAGTGTGAAGTTTCCCCAATAACGTTAAAGCTAACGAGTGTTAACAAGGCTCTTAAACCTATGGAACCGAACGTCTTGCTGGAAATCCATTCTGAGAATCTGCCCACGCTGCACATAGGAAAATGTACCTGAATCAAAGCTTTCTACCAACATGTTCTACCATGTTTCTATCACTGTATGCCAGATGTTAGACGCACTGTTTTTTTTAGCACGCAAGTGCATTCAGAGTGCCATTCAGATCTGTAAACACTTATTATTGTTTTCTTTATTATTTTGTAATTATACAGTGGGACTGATGTTCCTGTCCATGCATTTTCTTTTATTCTTCCTTTAAAAAGGTAGTTTGTGACACAAAAAAGGGTACAGTCTTAACAAAAAGGGTTACAGTACTGAAAAGGGGTTCTCTGACTTAGTAGAACTATTTTAAAAGGAGTCATTTAAAGAACCATACACAGTTGTTTTTCCATCATAGAGAAGAACCATTTGATCATGCAAAGAATGATTAATGCATTCAGATGGTTCTTTGAGTGCTCATTGTTCTAAATAAAACTGCTGTCTTTACTAAAGAACCCTTGACCCTTTTTAACCCCTAAGAATAGCCAGTTTTCATTAAAGTCCCTGTAGTTACTGAATAGTAAGCCTCAGTATGTAATATGGGTGGGATTTTATGGAGTTAAAGAGTGGACTGTACAGGTACCCCAAGATACAAACAATGTTAATGGCCACACAAAGGTACAACATGAAATCACAGCAGTGGTAGCGCATTTGCGAGTTATAAACAGTGTCTGTGTTGGATTTATTGCACTCTCTGTCACCCAAACAGGGTTCGAAAACCAAATGTATAAAAAACTACTGTTATTTGTGTTGATATGTCTCTATGGTTCATCGCATGAAAGCATGTGGACGAGGTGCCGGATCCAGTCTGGGAGGTGGTGGATCTGAAGCCGCCTTGTTCCAGCACAAATAAATGTATCGAATATCACAATTTTAAAAGGTGCGATACTCTTATCATCTATTTCACGTCACGTGGTTCTTTTTTTATTTAACCATTCCTTTTGTACACTGTTTCATTTTTAAAAATGTATGCAATAGAAAAAAAATCACTTAATTATAAGCTATACAAACAGAACCTCACCAGTTAATACATACAACCACATTTCCAAAAAAGTTGGGATGCTGTGCCAAATAATTTAATAAATAATTTAAGTAAATAAAAACAAAATGCAATGATGTGCAAATCATTTAAACCCTATGTTTCATTGTAAATAGTACAAAGACAAATTAAATGTTGAAAAATATGCCCATTTTGAATTTGATGCCAACAGCACGTTCCAAAAAAGTTGGGATGGGGGAACAAAAGGCTGGTACAGTTGTGTAATGCTAAAAAAACACACTTCGTGGTTGATTGGCAACAGGTCAGTAACATGATTGGGTATAAAGACCATCTCAGAGAGTCTTTCAGAAGTAAAGATGGGGAGGGGTTCACCACTCTGTGAAAGACTGCACCATCAAATAGTGCAACAATTCAAGAATAACATTTCTCAACATAAAATAGCAAAGAACTTTTGCTTTTCATCATCTACGGTACATAATATCATTAAAAGATTCAGAGAGTCTGGAGAAATCTCTGTATTTAAGGCCAAAAAAACAGTATTTGCTGGCCACAATCTTTTGGCCTTCAGGCAGCACTGCATTAAAAACAGACATGATTCTGTAGTGGAAATCACTGCATGGGCTCAGAAACACTTCTGAAAACCACTGTCTGTGAACACAGTTCATCACTGTTTTTGCAAGTTTAAACTCTAAAACGCAAAGAAGAAACTACATAAACAGGATCCAGAAACGCTGCCACCTTCTCTGGGCCTGAGCTCATTTAAATTGGACTGAGGGGAAGTGGAAAAGTGTCCTGTGGTCTGACGTATCAACATTTGAAATTCTTTTTGGAAATCATGGACACTGTGTCCACGTCTTTTTCAGGGAAGGCCTTGATTATTTCAGCAAGACAATGTCACATTCTGCATTTATTACAGCAACAATTCTCCATATTAAAAGAGTCCAGATGCTACACTGACCTGCCTGCAGTCCAGACCTGTCACCACTGAAAACATTTGGCACATTATGAATGAAAAAAATAACAAAGGACACTCTGAACTGATGAGCAGCTGAAATCCTGTATCAAACAAGAACAGGAAAACTTTCAAAACTACAGCAGTGTCTCCTCAGTTCCCAAACACATTTATAAAATAACATTTTTCAGTTTCAAAATTTGATATGTTGTCTTTGTTGTATTTTCCTTTAAAAATGTGGTTCACATGATTTGCATATCATTGCATTCTATTTTTATTTACATTCTGCACAGAATCCCAATTTTTTTGGAAATGGTGCTGTAGTTTAACCATGCATACATAGTTTGAACACCAATTGGAGAGATTAGAGAGATTATAATGTCGATTTCCTGTTTGGTGAAGAATGCAAAATGAATGAAAATGATCTCACTATACTGGAAGATCATTTTGCTGGTTTCATGAACATTTTTTACAACAAACAACCTTATCTGTCAATACCATGAGATAATTTTACCTAATAAAATGACTTAAAACAAGTAAAAAATAGATATATTAGATGTATCGACTAGATTTAAGACAGTTTTACATGCCAATAAACCATTTTTTGCAGTGCATCTAACCACCACCCCCCCCTTCACTTCCTCCCTGTGCACCATGTTGGGGTTTGCACTGGGCTGGGCATTTCTTGCTACCTGTTGAAATGCCTGTTCACAGTGTTTCTGTATCCCCTTCTGTGCTGATGCTACAGTATTTGTGTCTCTTTATGACTGAACTTTATTTTTTGTTTTAAAATTTGTTGACTTCTCAATAATTTCAACCTTTTCGGCTTGTAAATCCTGCGCCTCAGCGTCATGTGGTTAGTGGGTGGGGCTGTGTGCAGTTTGCATGATAATCTGCCTTGTTAGTAAATTGAATGTTAACTCCAGGCGCACTGTGGGTGCATATTGCGGTCGCATCAAGGCACATTCTGTGCTGCAGCTGCGCTCATACGTATACTTTTAGCACCAATAGTTCTTCTGTTCAGAGGGTGCTCAGGTGTGGAACCTAACAGATGGAATGATGCTTTGCCTCACTCACCTCCTGCAGGTGTCTTCCCTTTGCAGATGAAGTCAGGAAGCCTCAGTTCACAGATCGTCTGCCTCAGCATAGCGACCTCTTTCCTCAGGGCCTGGTTATCATTCTTCAGAGCCGTTTTCTCCCTTCGTTCCTCCGTGATCATCTTCTTCAGCTGAGCGTTCTCCTGAAGTATACTGAGATTTTTGGTGACCTCCACCAGTACGTGTCTCTGCAGTGCCTCTATTTTGTAGTGATCTCTGACGTGAGTCTTGCAAAAGGAGGCGAGGCAGGTCATACAGGACTTGTACGCTCGTAATTTCCTTCCTTCACACAGATCACAGGCCACATCTCCAGCCTCAGCGTAGCGAGGGCTCAGCATGTGTTCTTGAGGGTCTTCTGGTGGTGGGTTATTAGCCACACGTATATAGCTATGTGTAGATGACATCATCCCAGACATCAGACTAAAAAAATGAAATAAACTATTAGATAATATCCAGTTTACATAACACTTATTAAGCCAATCCATACCTAGAACCCATATCACACATGTAAGTTATAACACAGTAATAAATAAATACCCAGAAATAGTTCATCTCAGCTCAGATGCATCATCATATATGTTTGCATGTATGTATGCACCCAGTCACAGGACCACATACAGATTTATTCTATAAGCATTTTGTTAAAATACTTCTTACATGTATTTATGAAAGAAACAAGTTGTTACCAGTTTGAACTGTTTAGAACCAGTGAGCACATACAGCTTACTGAGATCGGCCATGTGCTGCAGGCATGTTTCATGCATGAACTGCTTGTTTTACATAGGGTTTCATTTTAAATACACATGACCTCACTTAAGATTGCTAAGATTGCGAAACAATTCTCATTTTAAAAAATTGTTATGTTTTACCTTTCATTGTCAGGGTCCCTTTTAAACTCAATAGGGCGGCTCATAGAGCTGTCACTCATCTTTGACTTACAGCCAGGTGACTCTGGCCTGGCCATCATCACGCTTTAGGAGAAATATCAAAGAATTATTACGTGAAACATTCCAAAGTTTCTTTTATTTTAACAATATGAGAGTCTGAATTTACGTATTGCTCTGTACACTGAAATATCCCACCTTAAACCGTTTCTTCTTCAGGGGAATTCCAGTCTGGATGTTGTCACTGTATGGGGTGGACCAAAGCTCCGTCCTGTTTTTGGCTAAAGAGAAGTGGCAAATGGTCTTTACTGTCATTCCTCAGTATAACTTGTGATGTCATTCTTTCAGCCCAAAGGTGCAACACACAGCAGCAGTACATTGCAGCTGTCCAAGCAGGCAGCATTTTGAGGCAGCATTTGCGCTCCCGAGACGAAGGCTGTCCCATTCAGAAAGGCAGCCTAAGTCAGATGCCTTCTAAGGTGCCTTATTTCACCCAAATCTGAAGGCAGCATCACATGCCTCTTTCTCAGCGAAGGCAATCCCCCAATACTGCCCACTGGCTGAGAGTTCCACCGCTTCAGTTTGATAAACATGGCAGACGGAGTGACCGTTCCTGTTGAGGAGTCTACAAATTTATTAGTTATAATAGTTTAGTTTATTTATTTATTTACTTCTGTCTTTACCGTTTTGACTGAGTGGTGTACTTGTGTAAAACTTCTAACATATTTGTGTTTGTAGATCACTAGAAACTGTTCCTGTGGTTAAATTTAAGCAGTTCACTTGTCTAACATGATCTGGCAGTGCGTTTGTAACTCATTAGGTGAAACGAGGAGCTGAGGAAGAGGAGCTGAGGAAAAAGAGCTGAGGAAGAGGAGCTGAGGAAAAAGAGCAGAGGAAGAGGAGCTGAGGAAGAGGAGCTGAGGAAAAAGAGCTGAGAAAGAGGAGCTGAGAAAGAGGAGCTAAGGAAAAAGAGCTGAGGAAGAGAGGCTGAGGAAGAGGAGCTGAGGAAAAAGAGTTGAGGAAGAGGAGCTGAGGAAGAAGAGCTGAGGAAAAAGAGGTTGAGGAAGAGGAGCTGAGGAAGAAGAGCTGAGGAAAAAGCTGAGGAAGAGGAGCTAAGGAAGAGGAGCTGAGCAAAAAGAGTTGAGGGAGAGGAGCTGAGGAAGAGGAGCTGAGAAAGAGAGGCTGAGGAAGAGGAGCTAAGGAAAAAGAGCTGAGGAAGAGAGGCTGAGGAAGAGGAGCTGAGGAAGAGAGGCTGAGGAAGAGAGGCTGAGGAAGAGGAGCTGAGGAAGAGGAGCTGAGGAAGAGGGGCTGAGGAAGAGGAGCTTTTGAACATGTTCCTAACATCGCCAGTCACCAGTGAGGAATTTCTCAAAACAAGACAATGTCAGTTATACAACAGTTAGTTCCGGCCACGCAAGCTGATTGGTTGAGAGACTAACTGTGTCACCATAACATCATAACAAACAGAAAATGGACACTTTTAAGATCACGTTTGACCGACAGCCGATTTGGTCAGACTCTGAAGATGAGACGACACTAAATTCCCAAACTGTCATCACCACTGAGCAGCTTTTCAGTCGGCAGCTGTGACAGAAGAACAGCTGAACAACCTGGAATCAGCCAGAAATGAACCCAACACCATTCGCCAAACTAAATGGGCTGTAAGATGCTTTACAGACTGGCTGGAACAAAACAACATTAATACTGATCTGGCAAAAACTGACAAAACTGAGCTGAACTTGATATGGCGGCAGTTTTATGGCTCAGTCTGATTTGGTCAGACTCTGAAGATCAGACTACACATTTGGCGAATGGTACTGGGTTCATTTCTGGCTGATTCCAGGTTGTTTAGCTGTTCTTCTGTCTCAGCTGCCGACTGAAAAGCTGCTCAGTGGTGATGACAGTTTGGGAATTTAGTGTAATGAGCTGGAGAACGAACTGCCGGCTGTGCAGCGAGTGGGCGGAGCTCGTTACTCTGACGTAGCAACAAGCTGCTCGTTAATGAACTATAATTTGGTGAAGGAACTGCGAACATTAAAACATATTAAATGCCGCGTTCACGGCCCAGTTTATTAATTTATTACTGTATTTATTTAACTGTTGTATTAAAGCAGTAGAACACTGGAGGAGTGTGTTATCGCCAGTAACATCACGGCTGTGATGATCTACGGCGACCAAATCACAGCCGTGATGTTATTTCACTGTAACACACTCCCTCTGGGTTCTACTGCTTAATTATCTAGATAACTCGTCCCAGAAGTCAATACCATTTAATAGAAGGAGTATTAAGGGAATTCTTTATTGGACATTTTAGACTGAATTATCCAGCTAACTTTGAAATCCTGCCTCATGAATGTATTCAGGGTTTGGGGCTGCTGGCAAACTTTCAGAATAAAGCCTAAGAAATGCAAACACACTAAACTTGCCTTACAGACCAGGTTTAGATGTTGAAACTAGTTTTAATCCTTGTGTTCTTGCGCGCAGCATGACACTTGTGGAAACAACCAAGCACGTGACACATATGGAGGAGCTTTAGCTGACTGCAAACAATCAAGGAAAGTGGTAAGGTGGCAAAACTATAAAGTCTATAATGTTTTTGTATTTAAAATGTTACATTTTACAGTAAAGAAGTTACTGAATTTTAAAATGTTTAAAACATGAATTAAAATTAAACTGGTGAGTTCATTCAAATTTGGCTCCTTAGTTAGTTGCAACAATAAAGCACTCTTTAATGTATTTGGCATTACAGTTTTTGGTCCTATAGTTTAGAAGCTATTGATTTTTATTTTTGTGCATAAAATACAATTTATAATTCAACCAAACCATTAACTTAATTAGGTTCTGCTAATTAAACTAAACGCTTGCTGTAGTAAGCTGCAAGAACAGAGCCTTGTTGAGTTTGTATTTACAGTTTTGGGCCCTACATTAAAGAAACTATTGAATTTTTTAATATTGAAAAATTAATCTTCAATAAAAATCTCTTCAAATTCTGCTTCCTGTAGTCAGTTGCAGTAATAGGCCACTCTTTACTGCATTCGATTTTACAATCATGGCTTCTACAGTACAGAAACTATTGAATTTTCGGTCTATTTAATATTTATGAAAATTTAACATGATGTGTAATTTAAATTCTGCTTGCTGAAGGTCTGAGTTGCTTGGGTTTCAGCTGAGCCCTACAGTATAGACGCTATTGAGATTTTGACGTTCAGGCCAAGGCTTGCACATAAGGACACGCACTTTGACGACGGTCCCTTACTTTTGTGCGTAAAGCTCCGCTTAATGCCCGGTTCAGTTTGGGGTAATGTGTCGACAATTTCTTTCAAAAAGCAATTGCAGTAAAAAGAAAGAGTGCAGTCAGGAGCTCGAGCTCTGTGGAGGAAGAACACGTAAGAGAAAAGTTCGTCATATGCTCTATCTTAACGCTGCTGACGTCAGAAGTGCGAAGGTGTGTCAAATCTGGAATATAAAAGCAACCGTGCCGCGGTGAGCTCTCCTCCGAGTCCTGCGGGTGCAGATCAGAACCATACCTGATATTAAACATTACAGATAGAATACATATCAGATCTAATAGTCTTACCGAGCGTCCATTTGTTCCAGTGTATTCTTATGTTCTAAGTTGTTTTGGTTCCTCATTTTGTTCCTCATTTCCTTTTTAATCCTCTGAGCTGTGGAGGAGGAGGTGGAGCTCAGAGCTTAGAACGTTTCCTGTTTGATGGAATGTAATTTTTTTCAGAACCTTTATGCAAAATAATGGGTACATAAGTTAAACAGCAACATCAATAATAATAATGATAATTAGGCACATCAATTAGTAAATTGATAATAAAAGAAGAAATAACAATATATCAGAGCATGACCGCTCACTTTAACTGTCAGCTCATTACCTCTCTACAGCACAGTGAAGACTGCTGGTGTGATTTAGGCCTGTAGCCTAAATGTCCAAAACAAACATTTTGCAAGTAAACAAACAAACAGTTGGTAGGTAAAGATGTTTGAAATGTAAAGAAGATTTTGAAATGAAATCTTTAAATTCAGCATGTTATGGTTAATCACCTCCCACCAACAGGAGCCACTCCTTCAGCCTCCAGAGATGTTTTTGCACCAAATAAAACGATGTAGGTTTCAGTAAATAATGTCAGTAATGAAAAAAAAAAAATAACGCATAAAATGGTGGGCAGCTTCTTGTGGGACATGAAGAATCCTTGTTATCATTGATAAATAAACCTAATTATGAAAAAACTAAAAAAATAATTAATGAAAAGTTTAAAATAACATGAGAATAGTGAGGCGTTTTTATAGTGAGGGGTTCTGTAGGAATTGGACACTGAAACTGAAATTGAGTCAAAATTAGAAACGAGTTTTTTTCAGTTACTGAGCTGTTCGTGTGAATCACAAAATCCAGCCTTAAATTACTTTCATCTCCACCTTGTTTCCTACAGGGCAGCACCGTTTTGAAGCAGGTGAAGCTCACAGCACCTGAAATATCACTGTGTGAACGCTGTCAAGGGAATTTGACGGCGTTTTATGGCCATTGTTAGTAAAAATAAAAATAGTAGACTTCGAGAATAAAGTCGTAATATTTGGAGGATAAAGTGAGCTAACTGTAGGGGGGCTAACTGTAGAGGGGCTAACTGTAGGGGGGCTAACTGTAGAGGGGCTAACTGTAGGGGGGCTGCCATAACGCATTAGGGTCTCGGTTGCTGTACTGTAGGGGGGCTGCCATAACGCGTTGGGGTCTCGGTTGCTGTACTGTAGGGGGGCTGCCATAACGCTTTGGGGTCTCGGTTGCTGTACTGTAGGGGGGCTGCCATAACGCGTTGGGGTCTCGGTTGCTGTACTGTAGGGGGGCTGCCATAACGCGTTGGGGTCTCGG